ATAAATTAAATAAATTAAATAAATTAAATAAATTAAATAAATTAAATAAATTAAATAAATTAAATAAAAAATATTATTTAATTAATTTAACTTAAATATATTATAAAAAGAAAAAAAAGTATACGTGTATATATTTATTAATTTAAAAAAAAAAAAACTTTTAAATTTTTTATTTTATAATTATAATTATTAATTAAATTATAATTATTAAATTATAAAACTTTAATAATATTTTTTATTATAATAATAATTAACACTTATTTTTATTTATCGTTTTTAATTCGAATTTAAAAAACGATTATATAAAGTTAAAAACGATTATTTAAGGTTAATAATCGTTTTCTTCTTTTAATAACGGTTATTTCGCGGCAAATAACCGTTATTTGAAACCACCTATTGCCGGTATGGTACACATAGCACATACATTAATACATGTATGTTCCTACCTACCTACTAGGTAGTACTAGTATAATATTGACGTATATAGGTAATTCCGATGTCCGAAGTCGCAAGTGATTCTAAGTTGAAGCTCTTCGTCCTTTCACCCTCATACAGCATTTGAACCATGAGACTTGGGCATTTTCCTCGGCCGAATGGGTGATAGTAGGTACGGCTAAGGCAAGTATCTATGGACGCAAATCAATGATGAATACACTTGTAGTATGAATGTGTACTACCTACCTACCTACCTACCTACCTACCTACTACTCGCAGCTCGACTGAATTATTATCAATCTTTTTCTCTAATTAAACCTCGAAATGGTATCTGATACCGCCGATTTATCAAATGGAGGTGTCTCATTTCAGCGGTCCCCGGACGACTCGGATTCAGATTCGGATTTGAATTCTTTATTCGGGGAGATTTCCGACCTAGTCACGCTTGATGATGAACGTCTGAGGTCTACGACATCAACTTCTAGAGAAGCTGTGCTTGTCCAACAAACTGATCCAGTATATGGTCTTCAATGGACTAACGGAAATGGCAATTTTTCTCTCACACCTCGATGGACCGTCGAGCCAACAATTGGTGCTATCATCCTGACGCTGCGGAATGTCATCGATCTACATAAGAGATATACTGTTGAGCACCTCTGGGACGGAACATTCAATAAGATTTATTCGGTTTCATATGATCAAACGCACCTTATCATGCGTATCTCTCTTCCCGTATGCCCAAGAACCAAGACGGAAAGTGAGGCGGCAACAGTACGTTGGATCTATGACAATACCAACCTACCAGTTCCCAAGATCCAATCTTACGACTCTTCGCGCGACAACCCCATAGGCTTCGAATGGATATTGATGGACCGGATCGACGGAATACCCCTTTCTCAGTGTTGGAGTTCCGTTACTCAGGATGCTAAAGAGCGCATAGTAAAGCAAATCGCTAGATATGCCGCTACCGCCTTTAGGGCGCAATTCAAAGGCGTCGGTAACCTATACCCTCCACGATCGTATTCGTCGGGTTCTCAGCCTCGGGTAGGTGAAATGGTATCACCGGTGCTCTTCTAGGGCGAGCGTGCCGGCCGACGTCATCATACGACCCCTTTCCGCACCGCATTCAAGTGGACGCAATGTCGTCTCCGACTTGTTTTAGCCGACCTTCGCTTAAAGACACTAGAGATATCCGATAAAGGTCATCGCGAAATTGCCACCAGAATGATAATACTCATTAACCATCTTCGAGGCATAGAGGATAAGTTTTTCCCAACCCCCGAGATCGGTTCCAACGAGAACCTCGTTTGTGATGACGATGAGTCGATTGACAAGGACGAGGACGAGGATGATGAGGATGTCGTTGACAAAGGAGAACGGCCTGACGAACCTACTATGCTTTGGCATGATAACATCTCCCTTGATAACATTCTAGTCGATAAGAACGGAATTCTCTGTGGCGTCATTGGCTGGGAATGTGTCTCTTGTCTCCCCCTTTACGAGGCCTGTCAATTTCCTGCATTTCTTCAACAACCACAGGACCGCCCTGTCGAGCCATCAACGCCCTTTAGAGTTACGCGAAAACAGCCAAACAATGATCGGGAGATCGCAAGTTATGACAGGAAATTGCGACAGCATCACATTACCCTACTGCGTCGGTCATTCATCACCGAGATGCTTCACCTATGTCCTGAATGGGTTGCTATTTTTGATGGTAGGAGATACTTGAGGGACTACGAGGCTGCGGTGCAGAATTGCGACAACGAATCTGCTTACGAGATAGTCGAGAAATGGGTAGATGCTGTGGAGAGGGTAGAAAATTCCGATAGGACCCCCTGGCCTCTTCACGAACGTCTGATGGGGTGATGTGAATCTGCAAGGGTTCGGCGTAGAGACATTAGAATATTTCGAAGGCACATCGGTTTGGCAATATCACGCTGTTGATAACTTTATTATTAAATTTCAATCCCAGTCCCTTACTCAAACTATAAGCCACCTATTTATACATACTAAAGCACGACCAGAACCTTTCTACCGCCGTCTTCTTTCTCTCTGGCTCATTGGGCTCGCTAGGCTCACTCTCCTTAGTGGCGATGAGGAAGTCGATAACATCGTCTGTCATCTCCATCTCGCCGAATCTGTCGTGGACGGGGCTAAATGTGCTGCGAAAAGCTTCGACGGCTCCTGTATAAGGGAGAATGCTCATATTACGTTGCTTCTCCTTTTCCGTCGTACAAGTCTCGGTGGTGTATTCTGCTACGTTGGCACTTACCTCTGCGTTGCTCATACTGCCGTGGGTGGTGTGTTGGGTATCTTTTTCGATATTACTCTGCAAGTCGTCTTCGACATTAGCCTTACCTTCGTGCTCTCCATAGCTCTCCAAATTCTTATCAATATCGACGTCTTCGTAAATATCGTAATCATCATCAAGCTCAACATCCACGAACTCATCTCCGTCGTCCTCGTCACCTATTACAAATAGCTCATCCTCTAGAGAGTCGCCCTTGATATCCCCATTGTATTCCTCCTGTTCATCTTGCAGACTAGAACCTACCTTCGTGTCTTCGCTGCTACGGTTAGCTTCATCCCCGACTTTGGAATGCCCCCATAATTCTTGCCCAACCTTCTCGACATCAGCTTCTTCCGTACTGGAATTGATACTAAAAGGGGGTGCTTCTTTCGAAGGAGAGTCATCTGATTCCGCCGCATGCCTTCGTCGATAATGGCTATAAAACTCCCCATCCGGAGTCAGCGACCCAGTCCAGGGTGATACTAAAGCGGTAATGTCTTCCTTGGTACATTCTGGGAGAACCATGAGTTCTTGGAGCTTGTCTGCCGTGTCTACTTCCCTGACAAATTCCTTCTTTGCCTTGTCTTCAACTTTACATGCTTCAGACCGCCCCTGCTGCGATCCACAAGCAAACGGAAGACCCCCAACAACAAGATTTGATGCCTCATGCTGGCAGTTAGGCGTGGTGCAAAAGTAGACCAGATCTTTATTTGACTTGCAGCCGCAAGAATGATAAAACGTGATTGCTTGACAGGCGCTCATCGTATCTCAGAATTTCTTGGAAGTATCACCTGATTGTGACAATGTTGAAAATGGCGCAGTCGATATTTTCTTTCCTCTTTTTTTCTTTTTGGCACTTGGCAAGCCTGCTTGCTCCGTAAATTGTGTTGTATCGAGATGTATATGGCCTGGCCTAAACTATTTCTTCGGTTGCTAGGACTGCTCGGCGACCTAAAATAGCTGGGACGGCTTATTCTTGACTATGACAAGTTGCATCGAACCTGTTGAAATGGACGATGAACACGCATTTTATCCTTCCGAGCGGGCTTGTTTTCAATGAGATTGTTCTGTAATATACACAATGCTGATTGTTAGAAGAACAAAGTTACTATTTGTTAGTTTCCATTGGATTAAAGTCTCCTTTGTTACATCCTTTGACACTGGATTTCTCAATACACCTATTATCCATTATACCTTTCATTTCATTGAACGACGATCTAACCTCGGTGGCATCTATTTCTAACAGCTACCTGGAGGATGAGACTGAGCTTCTGGTTAAGTTGACTGTTCTAATCTAAACAGAGGAACGGATGAGTGCTGGCGTTGGCCTATGAATACTTACCTATATTCGTGGCGCCATCTGCATCTACGTTCATGCAGAGTAGAAACTAAATATGCGTGGATAGAGTGGGCAATAAGAAATATGAAATTATAGCGCTAGACTTCTCGTACTTTACTTCTTAACAGAACGCTACTACATAAGAATAACATGAAAAGCTCGCTAGGCCCGTGATAGTTCCATCAGTTCCCGGATTAGCAATCGAAACCAACTTACAGAGGAGGCTTTCACAATGGTATATCTCCCTAAGTCGTCCTATTTCTCTCTGTAAGTTTGGCAACGTAATCATCCCAGAAGGGAATATCATCTTCTAGGTCCAAGACTAAGAGCATCCATTTCCAACTATCCAGCCAAGGGTCCATTGTTTCTCTTTGGAAAGTTCGGTCTTGTATATGTTCTTTCCATTTGGACTTCATGAGCCGATACTCGACTGCAATTAGATGAAGTTTTTCTCTGTACTCGGATACCGGCCTTGAAGCTGCCCTAACAAAGGCTGCTGAAATTCGAACCCACTTCCAAGCGAGATTCTCGTCCGTTGTACTCTGGAAATGACGAAACTCTATTGTACTTTGATCATTCTCTCGGTTGTAGACAGCTAGAGCCAATCGTCTATTCATGAAGTTTACGTTAGTGCCGGACAACAGTTCTGCAAGTTCACCCATGTCTCTTGTTCCGAAAATGGCTGAGATCCAGGTTTTTTCTTTCGAAGAAAACTCCTTAGGAAGGCCGTCGGAAGTGTCATCCTCTTGAACCGGGAGCGGAACTGTTAGTTCCACCTTGTCCTCTGTAGTACCTGAGCCCTCGCAGGTCGATGTGGATTCCTTCTGGCATGATTCGAGTATCATCTTGTCTTCACTTGGCTGGACGTTCTCGTCATCGAAAATGCTCTTTTCCTCGTGTGTGCCTTGGCTATCCGAAGGTTGCTCGTCTTTCGTGCCACCCTCTCCTTGGCGGATCTTTAAGTCCTGGTCCTTGGAGACTTCTACGTCTTGGTACTTGTGAATCCCTGAGTGGCTTTCCTTGGAGACCCCATTGCCGTCCGGTGTGCCATCTACTACGGATATACCCTCGGATTCTGTAATATCAAACTTGGTTTGGGCTAATCGCGAATATTTCCGGATCGGCGCATTTGATAATGTCATGCCCCTGTCGTGATTGCAAAGAGAGAAGAGACATGGCTCTAGAAGCCATCCTAAGATAGCTGCCTTTTTGGCGGTTTCCAAGTCAAGACCGTCCTCGACGCCGATATGAACGTGTAGCCCTGCGGTCTGGGTGGGCTGGGGCTCAAATCTATCAGCAATCTTAGTGTTTTTCAGGCTGCCGCCGTCTTTGATTGCAGCGAAGGTAGCGCTAAATTCGGAGCAGCCTCGGTCATCGAAGCCCAGAGCTCGGGTGGAAATTTCTAGGCCAACAGCGATTTCCCCCTCGGCATCTCTCTGAGCTTTCTCCTTGGTGCCATCAACGACGGAGCCATCACCAGAGATGCAGTAATAGTTTTTCCATTCCGTCTTATCGAGGGGCATCCCATCTGGGTACCGATAGGCCGTACCCCTATATTTGCTCCATTTTCCATGGACACAGGCACAAGGGAGTGGATTCGCCAAGTTTCGTAAGAAGAGCTCTGCTATAGCTTCGTAGGTTTCTTGATTATTCTCATGTTCCTTGCGGGTAGTGACGAGGAACTCCAGCTCTACGCCAAAGGTCAATGCCGGGTCGGAGGTCATGACGAGAACGAGTGTATAAATTGATAGATAGGTAGGTAGGTATTATAACGTATTGGGGATGAGATGCCGCGCAATATCTGCTTGGAATAGTGCAATATTAAATGGTAGCATAAGAGTGAAAGACTGAAAGTGACTAAACAGAAGATTCTTTTCTTTTCCCCCGATATTTAGAAAGGTTGAAGTTTGCGAAGAACTAGGAAGTCTCATTCATTACCTACTGCATAGGTACCTAGCACCTACTACATGGTTTGACGTTGTAGTTAAATTACGTACATGTATACCTGTGTAGATGGGTTATTCCTGCCCCTGGAGATCATACATATTGAAGGCTATTACCTTTTACGATCGATATATCAATACATTTCTCCCGACGTTCTTTCCTTAGCCGATACACTGTCGAAATTAAGGAAAGATGCCTAGTAGGCAACATTAAAGCTTGAGGAAAGTCAAACTCGGATATATGATAGTTTGATTGCATGCCTACCTACATGTACCTAGGTAGGTTAGTAGGCTTCCCCTATTCACCTCCACTCACCCCTATTCTCCCCTATTCTCCCCCATTGATATATCAACAAACTATCAGACTAGATATAAATTTACTACTTATACATACACTACAACCAAAGGTCTTCTCGTATCTTCCCATCCTGTGATAAGTAGATTGTACAACATTGAAGGACTTCTTCATGGTTACCTACATAGGTACCTAGATAGATGGGTACCTAACCTGTAACATTTACAGTGGTATAACATAGCTCCCATCTTTCTGCTTGTACTCCTTTACGCCAAACCTCTTCGAATCCATGAAGAACTTGAAACATCCGGTTTGGAAAGTTTCAAAGGCTCTGATAAACATTTCAATGTTCCTCTGCACATTTTCATCGTAGTCTAGTCCCTTTTCTCGAAGAGAGGCCGCGGCAATGTCGAATTTCCTAGCTGAGGAATACATCTGCTCTACCAACTCATGTACAATGACGTCTAGCGACCTTCCCGTTTCCGCTACCATGATTGGAACAAGGTTTGTTGGTGTATCTTCTTTCTATTTTTCTCTTACTTAGTTTCCATAAGACGCCGGGGTCTGAACACGTAGACGTCTGCCTACACGGGTAGATACCTAGTAATACCTAGGGAGAGAAAGACACATACCATTTCCTTTTTTAACGAATACAAGTCGTTGCAACTATTCGCAGTGTTTAGAGGAGCAAATAAGCGGAAAATCAAGATACAATAACACTTACAGAAGAGGTTGGAAGCTAGTTTCTAGGCGTAGAACTCTTACTTCTTCACACCAGGCCAGGCCATCGGGTAAGCTTATGTTATTTACATACTGATGCAGCGTACAGTAAGGGAATACGGCGCCGACGCCATGACGGTACGTCCAATACTCCTCGGTGCTGGGAAGAGAGCCCGAGAGCCGGTATGTTTGCTCTAGAGCGTTTGTATCGATGAATTCCTGAATGTCATTGGCAAGTTTGTCAAGGTCGACTTGGCCTGGACAAGCCGCAACCACCCTCGGCGCAAATTCTTCGAAACTCGCAAATTCCTGCGGTGCGTGAAGCGGCTGTGCGTCTGGGATAGGCTTATTGCTGCCTAGAAAGAGTTTGTATCGCATGTAAGCAACGGAGTCTTGCCTAAGTTTCGTGGCGGCATCAAAATCAGAGGCGAAGTCTGGCGTCTCGTCATCGATCTCCTTATCGATCGTATCATCGAAAATGAAGAAGACCATAGACATCAAAGCCATCGTCTTTAGCTGCTCTATCTCCGCACTTGGATAACATCTAGGAATCGCATAATGTTCAATACGCATTATTGGTTAGGTATCTATGGCATGGCCTGACATGACCGGACACGACATGACATGCCATTCTTGAAGGTAACCACTTACAATGATGTAAACCAGCCAAGGTCTATTGCCCTTGTTTTTACTCGTGCTTTCTCATTCTTGACATAAATGTCTATCTTCTCGTCAACAAAAGCCCTTAGCTCCTCGCACTGGGGATTGAGCCCAGATGCCCAGTTCTGGTAAATCGGTCTCAGGTCCGGTACCTGTAGTAGCTTGCCTCGTAGACCCCTGAGTGCGGTTACGCCTTCGCTTTCGAACATTTTTATCCGATACGTTAGTAAGTAGGTGGTTAGTAAATTGGGTACGAAAGAGAGCTAGAAGTCATATCACGATCTTCGACGCGGTTACCTTCAGAGTTGCAAGCCCGTAGGTATCACTGGTGTCTTATACACCTTTTTTTTTTTTGTGAGCGTCTCCGCAAATCCTTCAGCGCAGTGGGCTGCACTAAAATATCCGCTGCGTCCGGGCCGTACTATCTTCGACGAGATTTACCTGACGTTGTTAGAAATTTCGGTGGAGTCCTACCAGCGATGGACTCTCGGCTCGGCGACGTGGCATTGCATAAACCAATTGGATAGGATTGAGATGATATTCCCAACAGCGAACATGGTTTATAAGGCCTGGTACGAAAAGACATCAGATAAGGTATTAATCACCGGCTTTTACGCTCATTAGACATGATTCACCTAACCTACATAGGAACCGAGACAGCTAACACCTACCTAACCTTGTCTGTTGATCCCTGTTACTTATTATGCCCTGCAATGTTACTGTCACTGTCTTCGTATTGTTGGTGCACCTTCAACCGAACCTGACTTTGCCATGTAGTAGCTTGTCTGTAAAGATAAACATACGATGCTAGGTATGATTTAGGTAGTAACCTATGGTTTAGTCTACAAGCCTCTTCGAACTCAGAGTGGAATGTTTTCTTAGCTGGATTTCTTAGATTTCTGGGGAAGGGGGGAGATGATATCTATGGGTTAAACGAATTTGGGGTATCTTACTTTTCTTTCCCGTCGAAGTAAGGGAGGTTTAGGGACTACCTAGAGATAGCATAGGTGAAAATTGACTGGTTGAATTTCCGGTTACGAGGGTTCATCATAGGTACCTAACTTACACCTACTAAACAATTTATTGAATACGGAAACTGAAGCTTGGTCATCTGGAGCGTTATGAACAAGAAACATATAACATATCATATACTTAAAGGTAGGTAGATAAAAGAGCAAACGTAGCTGGTGATGTTTGGGGGGGGGGGGGGGGAACCAAGACAGATACAAAGAGAATTGCGAGTTTGTTCAAAATAAAAGATATTGTCTAGAGTAGACAATCACAGTCTGTTTATCATCTTGGAACAAGTCGAGAGTTCGCGAATAATGTCTTTGATCACGATTGTAAAATTGGACAGTTCGGTAACAAAGTGAAGTACCGAAAGAGAGTCGCAATGGGATCCTCAAAGGATATTTTATGCCTCCATCCGCCCCCCCAATTTTTCAAGATAGCAATTGTCAGTCATCGATCGTCTGTCGTCAACCTTGGCATACAATTAATGATCCAGAAAACGAGAGTCTGACCCGGTCAAATCCCAGCAGTATGTGCGAGTTCAGCGGAACAAGATTCAGCTGCGGTTGTCTCACGTGGAAGGGCAACGAGTACAAATATTGCTACAGGCGAGGTAAAGGGTGTAAGACAAAGACATTCCGGCTTTTCGAATGGCAAACGTTCTGCCCAGGTTCTCGTAAATTTCTCAAGGAGAAGACAAAGTATGACGAAGGTGTTGTCCTTCCGAGATGCTGCAGCCAACTTGAGAAATCGAAGCTAGAAAGTCTATGCTTGAAATGTAACTCGATCCCCGACAAGGAAAATGAGTTGCACCGCTATTGTGCCCAGCACATGGTGTGCGTTTCTGAAATAGTTGATCCAAATGCAGAGAAAGAGTTCGAAAAGTTTGCGCAACTTTGGCCAGGCAACTTACGAGCCAGGTACCTTCGAAGGAAGCAAGATCTAAGGGTAAGAGATGTTGGTTGGTCCCTATGATTTTACTGCGGACTTGACGTGGGCGCGAACGCGAACGCGGACGTGGACGTGGACGTGGACGTAGACGCAGATGCGGATGCAGTATTGTTTAGTGTTTCTTTTCTTTTTCTTTCTTTTTTTTCTGTGTTTAGTATCTTATCTAACTCAGCCAGCTTAATCCAGGTACTTTTAAACATGTAGGTGGTTATGAAATCACGATAGGAAATAGGTAACGTTAATGTCGTCGATGGTGCTTAAAGATTTTAAATGTTTTAATGTTGTAAACTTGTAAAGGTAAACGATGCGGTGCTACCCCACGTGTAGGACGATCCTTAGCTGCCTACATAGTAGGTACATGCATGGATATTACTAATTTACTAGACATGCACTAGCATACTAGGTACACAGCAATATTAAGTAGGTACCTACCCTTAGATTGGAACAAATCGGCGATCGGACCTTTGGATTGCCGTCATCTTATGTTACTAGCACGAGTAGAATCGCGTTATTGGACGAGTACGGAATGTTTTACGTTTTAGGCAAGCTGCTTAAGACCGATTAGACCGATTAGACCGACTGAACCGAGAGCGAGCTGGAGCGACCAGCTTGTGAACCCGCCACGCCGGTTACACATATGTCGTACAATACATTGATAGGCGTAAAGATGAGGTCAACGGACCCACTTTCAGGCCGGAAGTTTATTATACTCCTACGTATAAACTCCGGGCTATCTTACCTACCTAGGGAGATTAATCTACACAGCTACATGGATCTTTATTTTCGTGATCGTGACTTGATCACTCTCAGTCGACCCGATGTTCTGGCCCGATGCTCTAGGTTAGTATCGGGAGAACGGGAAGACGGGAGGATAAGATGACATAAATATCTAGCATTCCATCATAGGACATTCTGACTCGAACCACTATAATATTTCTTTGTTTTAACCTCCCACGATTCTGACATTTGTTCTATATGGATACTTAATACTGTTAATATTCTCATTGTTTACCTAGGTACCTACCTAGTAGTTATCTACATCATTCGCTGAGAAGACCAACGATATACCTACCTCCTACCTAATATCTATGTCTAATATATAATACCAAGACCTAAGAGGAAGGGAGAAAAAACAGAACAAAAACAAAACAACAACAACAACAACAAAAACAAAAACAAACACATATCAGAAGATGTCGCAGCAGCAACATCGAACTGGACCGCCGTACGCTCCCACCACCGCCAGCGTTGGTGGTCTTCCTTCTGTTATACCAGATGTGCCCGTCTCGGCCGTCTTCATCGCCATGTACGTGGCTTTCGCCGCCATCAACATGATCATATATCAAATTAATAGTCGGAGAGGACACAAATTCATCCCTTCCGTCGCCTTGTTTGGTTTCTGTATGGCCCGCATCTTGACCCTCGTCCTCCGGATAGTGTGGTCTACCCGACACACCAACGTCAGTCTTGCTATCGCCGCTAACATATTCGTCAATGCTGGTATTCTCATCGTTTATATCCTGAATCTCATCTTTGCCCAGCGCATCTTGCGAGCTAGGCAACCTGCTCTCGGCTGGCATGTATCGCTCCGTATCATTTACAGGGCCCTCTTCGTCGGAGTCGCCTGTGCCCTCGTCATGGTCATCACAGCATTGGTCCTATCCGTCTACAGCTTGAACTCGTACACCATACGAGCTTGCCGGGACGTTCAACTGACCTCCGGGACGTACCTCCTCGTCTTCACCACTCTACCCGTCTTTCCCATAGCCGCCGCTTACCTGTTACCTCCATCTCCGGCCAAGGAATCATTCGGGGAGGGCAGTATGAGGTCTAAGACTATAATAGTCCTCCTTGTTACTTGTCTCTGTACGATGAATTCGGGTTTTAGGGTTGGGACAGCTTGGTCACCACCACGACCGACGAATGATCCAGCTTGGTATCATGGCAAAGCCCCCTTCTACGTATTTAATTTCACGATCGAGATCATAATCCTACTTATTCTAGTCTCGACCAGGATCGACAAGCGATTCTATATTCCAGATGGAAGTAGTGAGCCGGGTCACTACTCTCGCCGCGTCGACTCGTCCACCGAGAGTGTCAGGGATACTTCTGTCGAGAAGGAAGGGAAAAGCGAGGAGAGAACTCTGTGCGATGTTTGAAAGAACTTATTTGAAGATATATGGAATATTTCAAAATTAGTGGCGAGGTTTATCTTAATGCGAAAGCTAATATAATGATACCCAATAGACGAATATTTCCACACACACCCCCTACCACCCTACCACCTTACCCCCTTACCCCATTACCCCCTTTTCCTTTATTATTATTGTTTTTTCTTTTTTCTTTTTTTATAAATGAAGGAGAAAATTCTTTTCGCTGCGCAGCATTCATCTATGGCCTACTAGACAACATGTTTGTGAACGTCTCACACAAATTTCTCACCTCCCATTGCTCCACGTTAGCCGCTTCCCACTCGGCCTGTAGATATCGTAGAATGGCCCACACTTGGTAAAATTCGGTGTCACTTTCAGAGTCTTGGTCATTATCGGGGTCAAATCTACCATGTGTCCACTCGCCCTCGTTTTCCCAGCTGAAGCGAAGCACACGGACGACGAAGCGTAGTGCATAATCTAATGCCGTCCAGCCCCCCCTGTTAGATACCGCAGAGCTTGCGTACCTGAGCAGAGCGAACGCGTTGGTCGACCTGCACAGCCTGAACAGCTCATCACAATCTATATCCTCGACCTGCGAGGCCACCTCGAGGTGGTCGTGTCGGTACTCCTCAAAGAATGGCTTGATGAAGTCGCCATCTAAGATTTCACGCACCAGGTGTTTTTCGTCGTCGTAAAAGCCGAGATAAAAGCAGAGGGTGTCGTAGACCTGCTGCAAGGCTGTAATCCGTTCTCGCGGAATAGCTTTGTTCGTCTCCATCCCTAGCGTATTACGTATTTATGTTGCTGTCCTAGAGTATACAAGTGAGGAGAAGGAGAACCGAGAATCTAAGAAGCACGAAGCTGAAACCAAGCTGCACGATCGCGAGGGGGGTTAACCTAGTACTCGTACCACGTGGGTGAAGCATGGCGGATCCAATCATCTCCCTTGCCGAGCTGCACGACGAGAACATTGGAATTGCACATCTCTTACTGTGTGTATGTAGGTACCTAAGTGGGCAAATAAAACTGTATAGATATCCATACTAAAATCCTTTGCAACCCCTGATCGACTAGGCGATGTTTCTCAACTTTGATATTTCGTTTATACCTAGTATATGCTACCTATCCTATGATTCCATTTTCACGCTAGACCACCAAAATGTATGATACATGGGTATATATATAAAATCTGACGAGTTTCTATGTTAAGATGTCTTTGTGGCCCGGCGTAGGTGCCTCGTAGTGTTGGCCCTGTGTCTGCTTATAGATAGTCATGGGCATCTCTGGTTTGATATACTGAGCAATAACGTGCGTAAAGCTGGAGGTAGACTCGCGTTTCCTGTCAGGATATTTCTTTTGTGGCATGCCTTGCTGAGACCAGGTTTGTCGCTTCCGCACGTTGCTCCGCTGTAGAGCTACCTTTTCTCCAGGGTCGACGCATCGCGAGTGTTCGAGGCCGGAGTTGATGGCGGACCTGCGCCGCCCTTGCGCTTTATTGCACTCTACAGTCGAAGGATGTCCATTTACTCGAAAGCTCTCCTTGTCGTCTCCTGGGATGGAATTTGGCTTGTGACTCCCCGGTTGGTCATGCCTATTCCAGCTCCTTCCTTTCGATCTCTTGTCCTGCCACCCTGTAGAATGGTCTATGCTAGTGCAGCTCTTAGGCCGCCTATGAATAGGGTTACTGGGTTTTTGAGTTTTGTCGTAGCTGTTCGGACCCGGTCCTTGAACGCTTCTGCTAGTATAATATGCATCTTCCGAGACGGGAAATTTCACAATGTGATCGGGGTCGACTAGCGACGCAGCTCGATTTCCTGAGTCCCCGGTCAAACTCTTCCATATCTGTAGACGAAGTGTTATATCCGTCGTGATTTCCTGTTCGAGGTATCTTAGGAAATCCGAATATTGTTGAGGCTCGATGTGAGGATCGGTAGCTAACTGGTAGGATCGTCTATGCCGTCGTATGGTAGCGGGAGAGCAAGACCGACGTGCTACTGATTTGTCCTTGGATTCAAGTATGCGTAGTGTCCTTTCTCGTTCGTCGGTCTCTTCAGGCTCTTCGTCTATCGCGGAATACTTCAAAGCGGCATCACGAGAAATGGCGATGGTAGGAGTCGGATGTGATTCGTCAGATAGATTTGTTTGTGAGTAGTTAGTCTCAAGTCGATAGAGCCTTCGTTCGTCGGGGGACGATTTAACGGAGGACCTGGGTATCGAATGCGTTCTCTTATTCACCCCCGGTAGAGTTTCTGTGTCATCCAACCCGTTTGCCCTCGTAACTGTATGATAGGCAGAAGGTGGCGATGGAAAATGCGACAAGGAATATGATAACGAACTCTTTCTATCCTGACCGGGATGTCGAGGTTTATCGTCAGGATCTGAGTAGTTCTTATCCACTATATCTGGTTGTTGTGACGCGGTGGCTTTTTTGGAAGGACTCTTCTGGGGCATCGGCCTCGTTGAACCGTTCGATCTCGAAGACGATTCATGGGTTCTGTCAGTTGAAAAATACTGAGGCCTAAGTCTTGACCGAAGGCGATAGAAAAACTCTCGTATACTATCAGGAGATTTTCGCAATGACACTGCACCTTTAGTTCTATCTGATGAAGGAAGACCTTCATTTTCAGACACAGCTGTGCATGGATCGGACATCGTGTCTTGATCTCGTGGTAGATTCAAAGAGGGTTCTCCCAACGAGATTAACAGACTACAGACCACCGATGATGGCATAAGACTAAGGAGAGGAGGATATCCGATATCTACCTAGGTAGGTACCTAGTAAGTCAGAAATACAAGACCAAAATCTAGTGAAGACCTCATCACTTTTCTTCTCCCGTGGATTATTATAAAGGTGGAGGATGGAATGAGACTTATACCCCCTGAAAGGTTCATTGTGGCGACGAGATTCGTGCTATAAAAACGCCAAAGTAAGCAGACTCAATATGGCGCAACTTATTATACGCCACCGAATATTATATTGTATAAATATCTACCTGCGTAGGTAAGAATCTAAAATGTCTAGTTGGAATGTTATTATCATTTTTTACTATTAAAGTATAAGTAAGTTCAATAAAGATGGCACTCGATGAGATGAAACTTCGTAACTAAGTGTTAAACCAAGTGTTAACCTATAACCTACCTCTCCTAGCTTCTCCGTTGGCTGACTGCTTTTCGTAAGCCACCCTCCACAACATATCAGACCTAAGGAGTGGGGTTCGTAATTCTCACCGTAACTCCTCATCTCTATACGTATGCGCTTCTTTTCTTCCTCCGCCTATTCTTCTTATTCTACATCTCCTACATCTCCTACATCTCCTACATCTCCTACATCTCCTACATCTCCTACATCTCCTACATCTCCTACATCTCCTACATCTCCCCCCTCCCCCCTTCTCTGAACTCGTCACTATGCAAGAGCAGGTCGATGAAGAACACCTAGAAAATATATTGTCGGAACTGGAAGACTACCAAATCACCCACGCATCGCTTTTGAAGATCCCACGCGCCTCAGATGACTGCGAATCAACGGTGGCCATTGCTCGTCCGATCGGCGTTAGCATCCTTCCTACGACCTTCCCCCGCCACCTCTTCAATCACGCCTTAAACATTCAAACTCTCTTCAATCAGCTCTATATGAAAATCTCAGAGGATGATGCTTGGCTTCAGAATACTATCCAGAAGCTAGGGGAGGCGGATACATTTGTCGCCAAATTGTGGTCTATATGGGAACGTGTAAGGAATGAAGGAGAGGTCCAACCGTTGAGGTGCGGCATATTTAGGAGCGATTATATGATTCATCACGACAGTTCGAGAACCAGCGGGAGAGAGGCCACCACGAAGGATTATATAAACCAATTCCTGATGGACTCCGAGCTTAAACAGGTCGAATTCAATACCTACTCCTGTGCTGGAGGAGCCCACGCCAACACCGTAGCGAACATGCACCGATATTTAGCAAGCAAATGCATACACAAAGTATCCCACCTACCTATAAACCATGCCGTCAGATCGATGGTGGAAGCTCTCGAGTGCGCACATAGGGAATACGGTTCACCGGTAGACAAGAGCAGAGGGACCGCTATACTCATGACGGTACAGCCGAACAATGTCAACATCTGCGACGAACGACCGGTAGAGTACGCGCTTTCGGAATGTGAGCCGCCTATTGTGCTCTACCGAGTCGAGTTTAGCGACGAGATAGTACGTAAATGCAGTTTAGGGCCAAGTCGTGAACTGCTCTTTCGACCGAATTTCGAGAACGAGGCTGTCGAAATCTCGGTTGTGTACCAGCGAGCCGGATATGACCCACATGAATATGATCAACAAGGAATCCATGCGCGGTACATGCTTGAACGATCACGGGCGATCAAATGCCCGACAATATTATCTCACCTAGCCGGGTTGAAAAAGGTCCAGCAGGAACTCACTTCTCCCGGAATGACAGAGCGATTCATTGCCCCCGACATAGCCAGTGTCCTACGTCGAACTTTCGTGCCTCAGTATCCGTTTGATGTTTCTCAAGAAGGTATACAAGCCAAAGAAATAGCATTAGATAAACATAAAGCCGAGAACCACGTCCTGAAACCCTCGCTTGAGGGTGGAGGGAATAATATTTACGGGAAAGATATATCGGATTTCCTCAAAACCGTACCAGAAAAAGAGTGGAGTAAATATGTTCTGATGGAGAGAATACGTCCTCCACTGACCCACGGCGTACTTATTTCCCCTGTAGATACTCACAAGGGACCGGTCATCTGCGAGTTGGGAATCTTGGGAACATGTCTTTGGAGAGGAGATGGGCAGGGCGGAGAGAAGGTAAGAGTCATCCATAACAATACGGCCGGGTGGACATTCAAGACAAAACCCGAAGACGTTCAGGAGATGAGTGTTGTCAAGGGGTACGGGTGTTTTGACTGCCCGTCCCTTCTTTAGGCGGCTTTTATCATAAGAATATATGTATGGATTCACGTGCGATGGCCTCGGCATCGTGTACATGTTGATGCCAGAGCACAATGCTATATTCTTATGTAGGTATATACCTAGGTAGGTACTAGGGTAAGTATGTGTTTGCACAAGTCGGTTGGCATCCAGGGCAACGCACATGAGAATCGACGGCTACTAGGTAGGTAATCCAGAATCTCGTGCCGGGCTTTGACTCTGGCTGCCGCCGGCATGCATCCCTTTCAACCCTGCACCGTGCTCGTGGTCAGGAAGCTCTGCTGTCTTGTCCGCTCGCGCGACGTGAGAATTCTTATACTTTAGCACAACCTTCGGAGACAGGGGAATGCAAGAGAAGAGAAGAAGAAGAGAAGAAGAAGAGAAGAAGAAGAGAAGAAGAAGAGAAGAAGAAGAGAAGAAGAAGAGAAGAGGGAAGGGAAAATAACTTTGAAGCTCACCTGCGGCTCATTACCAATTCCGTGGATAATATTATGGTTACTCTCGTGAGAGGGGTCTTGGGCGTTATGAGCCCGTCCACTTCCTTCTCGAGGCATTATTTTAAAATGGGATGTTTGTTCTTCTCCTCCTTAAGAAATTAGTTCTGAAATTTTCATTAAATTAAGAGAGAACTGCTTAATGTACTAGTTATACTATATACACCTGCCTCATACTTTTATATCTAGTATCTTATTGACGTCAGTAACCACCATAGGTACTTACCTACTAAGTAATATATATTGTCAAGTCTACGTCATGATGAATCAAACCATGAAATATAAGTTACCTATGTACATATGGTCTTAGGAAGGTTATTTCGGAGATAATTCCCCTACAGTAAGTAGTATAGGTACATGTAGGTATAGTTCTTTTAACTTTAAACATAGTACCTACAAATAGGTACCTAGTATGTAGAGTTTGTTCATGTTCACTACCTATATGTAGGTAGAATTAGAAAGTGGAAATGAGTTTTCTTATATAGATTTGTTCGATAATAAATCTTCCCGATGACAATTGCCCGATTCAAATTACCTACATGGATCATTGATGTGTTCAGGTAATCCCCGGCCCTTACCCCCTTACCCCTTACCTACTGTAGTACCCATACCCATCTACGTACCTACTAGGTACCTACCTACCTATCCGATTGCGCCATTGCCAACCACCAACCACCAAAGCTCGCATCAATTGTTACACAGTTCCGACCCCGCGGATTTATAAGCAGCACACCATAGGTACCTACCTACCAGGTATAAAGAGATAAAGAGATCCGAAAAGAAAGCACCTGGGCACTCTTCCACAACTTCTTCAAATCTTATGCTACCTAGCTACTTCTCTTAAGGGTACTTTCGTAGACTCCCCTCCCTGAGAAGTCCCAGGCTCAGTTTACACATACCTGCTCGATCTCTTTACATAATGTCAGCGCCGAAGGTCAAGCTGTATACGAACCATGGATGTCCCTGTGCGTGAGATCTCAACCCATTGGTTTAGAAAGAGAGCTGATCTTAGATCGTAAGGGGCTCATCGAGCGCATATCTCCCTCGCAGAGCTTAAGCTGCCCTTCGAAGAGGAGATTATCGACTTGTCCACTCCCCGGACTCCGGAATATCTGAAGATCAACCCGCGGGGCCTGGTTCCATCTTTAGAATATAACGGCGAGATTCTCACCGAATCGGCCATCATCTCCAATTTCTTGGCCAATGAATTTCCCTCCCATCTGATTCCGCTGTCAAACGCACCCGGGGGCGCACTATTTCGGGCGAAAGTTGACTTCTTCGTCGACACTTTCATCTCCAAGGTGACTAGTAACTTCTTCAAGGCGCTGCATGCCAAGACGGACGAGGAGGTAGAAGGGTTCGTCAAGGAATACGTCGATGCTGTTGTGAAGGAGATCGAACCGCTCCTGGGTAACGCGGCGCCCTTTTTTAATGGTAGCGACAAACTCACCCAGGCCGAGGTTCTGACGGGCTCATTCGTCGTCCGCCTATTCACCTTGCCCAGGCACGGCCTCTTTCCCGAGCACATACTCGGTGATCTATCCACGAGGGCACCAAACTTCTACCGGTGGGGTCAGGCTGTTTCCAAACATCCTAGTGTTCTAGTGATATATGACGAAGAAGTGATCGCTGCGAGGACGAAAGAGAGGTTGGCTAAATTACGGGCAGCTTGAGCAATTCTAGTAGCTGCTGTATGCGCATAGTTAGGTACCTACCTATTTAATCTACTGGTTTAGGTCACGCCTTTCGAGTTGTAGTGTACCCAATTGACGATGTGGAATAATTCGGAATTAACAATTGATGGAGAATTAGGTCGTCATCGTCGTTGTCGATATCTCGTAATGATCCAAATGTACCTATGTAAGAAAGAAGAAACTTATGTATGTCAAGAGATGATTTACGACACCTGTCTAGGTACCTAGGTACCTACTAGTAAGTATGGGCCGAGCCGCGTCTCCCGCTTGGCACGAATCTTGTCAATGACGAACCAGACTTGTAAAGCTTGGATATTCTGGGGTAACTAGGTAGGTAGGCAGGTAGGGAATGCTCGCGAAGATGAACGTGCACTTTTTTTTTTCCCTTTTTCCCCTTTCTCTTTCGGTAATCTTTCTGTGAGATGTTAATAATACATTCCTCTAGACTGCCAGAGCACATCTCGGATTTAACAAAACGGTCGGAGATTATAGTCGAGGAGAAGCTGTGATTGGCCCATGACATTTATGGCTAACTTTTAGTCCTGGATTGTTGGGATACGTTGCATTTTATGTGTTGACATCACTTATCTAGGCCACAAAGAGATCATATTATGTACCTAATATGTACTATGTAGAAACTTTAGAGCAATCCCTTGTTAACCACGAGGTTCTCCGACTTTTCCGGGAGTTCAAGACTCCAAGTTGCTTTGTATCAGTTCAACCGACATACACTACATAAGGTATCTATCTACCTATCTATGGACTGTATCTCTACTATACATCTAGTACTTTACATATACCTAGTACCTACCTCTACCTAGGTAGTATGTACCTACTCATGTAGGTAGGTAGGTAGGTACAATACATGTATTTTAGTATCCATGGATCTGTTCCGCAAAGGATCCCTGGAGCCCACAGCCCCCTAACTTAACCTTGGAACCCTCTCTAATCACTTACGACCCCTGGACTGACACCTGGAGGCTTAGCAAGATGAAATTAAGCGCGCCAACCCACTCGAAAGTCCCCCTTCCTCCCCACCCTACGCGAATTCTCATCAATCAGACCACTCCACTCCTCTTTTCTCAGACTTACATACCTTCATGCTTTCCAGGCTTTCCAGGCTCTCCAGGCTCTCCAGGCTCTCTCTTATTTACGTAGTACCTACTACCTACACACTCTCACTCAGCGCGCTCAACTCATTCCCGCAGCCCGTAGCCCGCAGCCCGTAACCCGTAACTCGTAGCCCGCGACTCGTAGCCCGCGACTCGTAGCCCGCGGCACATCACGCAGCATACCCAGCACACCCAGTATTGTACACCCAGCACACCCAGCACCCAGACCAGTCGCCCGAACCCAACGCCCGTCATTGCTGCAGTGCAACTCACAGCCTTGGAAAACGAACAATCGCTGAGCCCAGCTCCCCCCCCGACTCGGGATCATGGGCTCCTTGCTTTCCGACCGCGTGTATATCGGCATACGGTGAAGGTTGGGATACCGACCGGAAACCCATGGGCCTGCACGAGGCGCGAGTAGGGAAGTCGGACGCGATGGGCCGCGATCTCGTCCACCTAATTCGGAACCCTCAGCTGTCGCCCGATTCCGTGGACTCAGCATTGAGCCCCGGCGAATACAGACAAGAAGCCTCCCCGGTACCGTTTGAGGCCGCCCGCGACTACCCACCATCATGGGCCGGCGAGCAGCTTGCGCAGACGCCGGACGACGTCGACTCCCCCGGCAGCTCCGTGCAGACGCCGCCGGCTGGTTCTAATAAGCGCAGTCATCGTAAGAGGACGCACAGCCCCGATGTCTGGGAGGCGCACAAGGCGGAGATAGCTCGCCTCTATCTGGACGAGAATAAGCGTCTCAAGGATGTAATGGAAATCATGGAGAGTCAATGGGGGTTTCGCGCATCGTAAGCTCAGTAGTTTCCCTTGCCTTCCTCTTCTTGTGCCCGTTAACTAAGCCGACGTTTTTAAAGCCAAAAAATGTACAAGACGAAACTCACTCAGTGGAAGTTCTTCAAGAATAACCGCCAGGCTGACGTAGCAAACTTGCTTTACTTACAGCGTCACCGGCTGGCTATCGGCAAAGAGAGCACATTTCGTAGGAATGGCAAGCCGATCGACGTGGAGGCTTATATGAGGAGAAGAGGGATTAGTGCCTTCGATCTCGTCGAAGTAGCCGACTCTGGTGATTTACCGCCGACTGTTAGATGTCGCACTCCGCCTTCGGTACCGAAGATACTAGACCCCCCGGACGATCTTCGTCTCAAGGAGAGGTTCTTCCAGTGGACCTCCCAGAAGTTCGTCAAACCTCGGCCGATAGAGTCGGGTTATCTGAAGAGGCTCGACTCTCATCACGCGAGCAAGGCCTTGCATTCCGTCCAGCTGCTGACCCATGGATGTTGGCTATTCTCCACCGGCCGTAATCAAGAGGCCGGGAACTTTTGTCGGGGAGCCTTCGCCCTGCTTCATCACGTCCTCGAGACGTCCGCTTTCCTTTCCTTCTTCGAGATGATGATGGCGATTCGCCGGTATCCCAACGCGGAAATTATAAAGGAGCTTTGGAGTTATCTATCGCGGTACGCTGCCGCGATCGATGGCGTCAACCAGCCGTTGCATCGGGTGTTGGCAGCCTTCTCCAACTTTTCGCAGCAGCACGGCCTGGTTCACAACATCGATATCTTGGACTGGGCGTTGCAGTGGGCCTCGGGCAGATTCAATAGCTCCTTTGACGGAAAGGCGTTTGACTACACTATGCTCAGGCCGTGGGATCTCGTGCCCGTAGGAAACTCATATCATCGATATTATCTGTGTCTGAACCACTGGGAAGTCGAGTCTATACCGACCGTAACTATACCGAGCCTGGATGTGTACGAAGACCCTTCGAACCTGCGAGCTGACCTGCTGCTCATTTTCGGTAACCAGAGTAGCTGGCGTGACGAGAGAATCTCGAAAGTCGCGTTGAAAGTACTGGAGCAGAACCGGTCGTCTCCTAAGCCCTCCGATTATCTCGAGTTTGTCTGCTTGTACTCTACGGCCCAACACAGCAAAGTTCGATCTGCCGACGAAGATCCCACAACAAGCATCGACCATAAGTTAGCTAGGGAATACCTACAGCTGGCCGGGGATCTTCAGAGGCGAGCTTGGCCTCCGGGGAAGAACTATTACGAGACGCTGATGCTCCTCGAAAGCTGGTACCGAGAAGCAGGCGACTACGAGTCCGCAGACGCTACGCGAATGCGATGCGACCAGGATTGCGTGGACGTATTGACAACTTTGTCTAAATGAGAAAAATACCCTAACCTCGGGGCCATACGGTGTTTCTGGGACTATGTCAGTGAGGCGAGTAGCGGTCGTGTTATTGCTTAACGTTTGAGCAGTCGGCTGCAAACAATGGTTAGAATTAAGCCATTGGATAGTAAGGACTTCGTACGAGGTCAACGGTATAACTAGGATGTCTCTACTCATCCTCGATTCAGTACAGTCAAACATAAGCACTGTGATTACCTAGGTAAATAATAAAATATCAATGCTCATGCTGTTTATTCCATAGTCGGGTTATCATCCTGACCCTGTAGCGAGTTGTTGTTTTAGGAATACGGCCTCATATAGGTAGGTAGGTACCTAGGTAGATATACCTATATGTTCTAACACAAGACACTTACCTAGGTACTTACCTAACTAGCTCATAGCTACGATCTAATGGATCCATCATACGTAATAAAAGACCAAATTGTCTTAACATATATCTAACTACTGCCCGTATATAGAGGTAGGCAATCTATGAGACTTACATTAAGCATGCCGCCCTCTCATCCAAACAATTTCGTCAAGTTATCTTCCTCGTCAATACTACTACGTACTAGGTAGGTAGGTAGGTAGGTACCTACTCACCTACTACTTATGATGTCGATTATTTCGAATTTCAATATCTTCGAGGCTAGATTATAGCGAAGCGATAATCTATGCGGGTGTTTGATAATTGAAGTTACCACTGGGGATGACTCAGTTAGTGCCTAGGTACATACTCTTCGCGAATTCCCTTCTATAAGCAGGCAAGTTTGGGGCGATAGTTCGCTCTGACTGTACTTTACATATTATGTAATATTCCCCGGTACTTAGTAGGTACTAGTATACGATGGGTCCTTTCTAACAACATGGTGCAATCCGATTCGTGAGGTCGTAACCTAAAAGCTGAAAACAGAGCTAACAACGGCACATCCTATGTAAGCCCTACTATATATCCAGCTTGGTACCTACCTAATAGTATGAGAGCTGGCAAGGTGGCAGTGAGACCCGGCTGCCGGGAGCTTTTATGGAACTCTCCAAGATCACATACGAGAGATCGTCATAGTGCGTACCGAAATAGAAAACTACCTACTTCCTAGTCAACCAATGCTTTGCTTACCTAGGTACCTACCTAGTCAATCTTTGTATTGATTTAATTAGAAAAAAAGTACATTCTGCTGATGATAAATTGGGGGACGATATGAAAACGCCGTGCAAGCGTCAGCATATTCAATTTTTAGATTATTAGCACCCATCCTTTGTACTTTGATAGGAGAAATATATATTTAAGGGCTAGCAGTCCTCGAGACGTTTGGGATCTATCTAAACTGCGTATGCCTTACTTGATAGTCCACTATGATTTCCTTCCCAGTTACTTGTCTTGCCTTAGTCTCTCTCGTTAGCTCTCTCGAGTTGCCAAAACTTTCTGAGAGAGCTACCGGCTGTGGTAAGACGCCGTCATTCACTCCCGGTGATTTTAAAAATTTTACAACATCAGACGGCCGCGAGTACCGGGCCTGGCTGCCAGCAAGTTACGACTCAAACAAGGCGACCCCTCTTATTCTAAGCTACCACGGCGCGAATAGGGATATATCCCGTCAAGTCGCGTTGGACAAACTAACCCACCCACGCTTCAACAAGGACCATATCGTAGTATATCTACAAGGCCTAGCGGTCAGTATCCCGAAATTTTAGTACCATGCTCTTTGTATTACTCACACGTAGAAGGCCGATGGATCTACGCGAACGAAGTGGGAGGGGGCACCGGACTGCAGCTCAAACGACATCAAATTCACGGGCGAGGTGCTTGATGCCATGACCGAAAGCCTGTGCGTGGACGAGAAGCGCATCTACGCGACGGGGAAGTCCCAAGGTGGTGGCTTCGTAGGGCGCCTCGCATGCGATTCGGGGCTTTCGAGCCGAATTGCGGCCTTCGCCCCTGTTTCCGGAGCGTATTACATTAAAGAGATCAACAAAAAATCGGACTGTCATCCAGAAACAGTCAAAGTGCCTTGCAGCCCCTCCCGTACCAACATCCCGATTTTAGCATTCCACGGAGGCGCCGACCGCACAATAGAATACCACGGCGACTTCAGATCGAATGCTTGTCTGCCAGACGTCAGCTCCTGGGCTCGGCAGTGGGCGCAACGGGATGGCCTGAGCGGAACACCCGTCAATTCGACGGTGGCCGACTCGGAGAACGGAGTGAATATGAGCTATGGGAAGAACGGCTTGGTCACTCTGGTGTATGATGGTGATAATATTGGGCATGACTGGCCGTCTAAAACGAGGAATGCGGACAACAGCGGAGTTAGACTGGCTGCGTTCGATGCCAGTGCGCGCATCATGGATTTCTTCCGAGACCATAAATTGCCTTAACTTCTTCGTATTCTGTATTCGCCAGGAGCATTAAGGATTATATTGATACATCTCCTTCACTCCTATGTACATATAGTTAGTAGCAGTTGTGTTCTGATTACCCTCAGCCCTTCATGGGTTTAACAGATAGTTCAAGTACAGGCAATGACCACATCGTCTTTAGAGAGATTCACGAATAGTTTCAGATCTGAAGTTGGTCGTTAGTAAGACGTAACAGCACTTGAGGTCTCGTATACGCATACGTACGAGGACACACTTGCCTTGATGTGGTATTTCATTTCATATCCATGGACGTAAATATTGGCCATCTTAACTGGCGCAGAGTACCGATTGCTCTTCAACAAACGACTCACGATGTTAGTTGATGAGAAGCCGAGACACTGTGAGGAATGAGATAATATGTCCTCCAGGACTAACCCTAATACCCTATACCTATGATATCATGGAAACGGGGAAATGGGGAAGACGGGAATATGGAGATGGAGTCTTATGAATGTTGAAGAAGGAAAAAAGCGTTTCAATGTTATAGCAAAGCACATGTCACGAAGAGCCTAATGGCGTACATGTAGGTACCTATACTTCAAGTATATATAGGTACCTAGGTACATAGTTATACCTATATATGTATTTCAAACAACGATGCATTAAAAATCGCTTTCACCGCTTTCTTGCCCCTCTCTCAATTCACTTTACATACTACCAAATTCGCATTAGCCGAAGCATTTTAAACACAGTACTTATTACTTAGAAGAGAATAGGTCAAGCACGATAAGCATGAATCATGCAGACTTTAATCGATTTTGAGCCAATCAAAACTACAGGATTGAACATCCCTTGTCCGACTGATATGCTAATAATACTGATTAGCAGCAGCGTTTCAATATCCACTATTAAAAACCTTAGCAACTTGGAAGTACCTACCTCCAGGGCTAGGCCAGATATGTATTAATTACAGTGGAAGAACCCTGTAAATCTGAGCCCCTCCCCCTCGGCAGCCCACCCTATCACTTTTGCCCCTCGTTGGAGGAGAAAAGTCCAAAGGAAAAAAAAAAAAAAATTTCGTGTAGAATTTTTTTCCCCCTAGGATTGTGTATCTCTCCCATAAATTCTCAACCTTAGCCTCCTCTCCCCTCAACACAAATTCTTACCAGATCTTCCTTTTTTTCCCCTTACCCAATAACCTTCTCCCTTCTTTCAATTCTTTTCTTTTCCATTTTCTCTTTTCTCGTGAAGAGTGACTATCTGAGTTTATTCAACTCAGATTTTCCCTCTTCTCGTGATACTCGGAAAGAAACTTCAGCCCTCTGCCTCGGTTCGGGCTTAGACTAAAATAGACAAGACGAGTCGCGATAGAGTAGATTTCTGATCTCATCGTCAGCAAGTCTACGGGCTCCGGAGTGATACAGGACGCGTTTATTTACGTAGATTTCAGCATCTATCCCAACAGCTCTCCAAACCTTCCGATTCATACGATCGAATACACCGACCGACGAGATAACCACGGCCTTTACCTATATACGTGTGACTCGATAAATCTCGATCCACGTATTCCTAATATTTCACTCTTCCTCTACTACAACGAAAATTATTCATCATGTCTACAGCGCAAGAGAATGCCCAATCCATCAAGATCTTGGATGATCTGATGCAAAAGCTCACCCTTTCCAAGGATGCAGCAGCTATTAAGGATGCCTCACATTCTTTGGCTTCTTTTATCAACGGTCGCATCGAAGACCAGGAGGCCCCTACCAGGTCAGTTTTTCTTTCTTTCTTCACTTCTTTTCTCTTTTTTCCCCTTTCACTTTATTCTGGTTTCTTAATTCATTTCTTCTCCTCTGTCCTCAATATTTTTCTCCTCGGTACATTAGGATCTTAGTTTCTTATTTTTTATCAATCCCTTCATTTTGCCCATTGTCGATAATTTATACCTTTTGTGTCCATAACCAGTAATTAGCAATTATCAATTAGCAACTAGCAACCCCATTTTCATTATTACCCCACTTAATACACGTGCTCCCTCCAAAATCTACTCGAATCAACTCTTGATTTGCATGACTAATAGTTGAATAAATTTACAGAACTGTCGAGGCTTTGAAGAAACAGATATCCAACAAGAAGGATGCTGCGGCTCGTGAAAAGGCTGTGAATGCCATCCAAGCAATCGCACAACACTCGGAGATCGCTCCTAACGTCGAGCCTTACCTCGCTCTTTTCTTGCCTTTGACCCTAGCAGCCATCGGTGACAAGATTACCTCTGTCAAGAATGCCGCTATTGCGGCCACAACAGCCATCGTCGAGGCTATCAACCCTAACGCTGTCAAGGCTATTCTACCCGCGATTGTCAAATCTATCTTGGAGGCCCAAAAATGGCCAGAAAAGATCACGGCTCTTGAGTGCATTGACATCTTGGTCAGAATAGCACCTGCCCAACTGGCATTCCGCGTCCCCGAGTTAATCCCTGTCATCTCCGAGTCCATGTGGGATACCAAGAAGGAAGTCAAGGAGCGTGCCTATAAGACAATGGAGAAAATCTGCGAGTTGATTGTCAACAAGGATATCGAGCGATTCATCCCCGAGCTTATCAAGTGTATCGCTAAGCCCGAAAATGTGCCCGAGACCGTTCACTTGTTGGGTGCTACTACCTTCGTTACTGAGGTTCAGGAGCCTACTCTAGCCTTGATGGTACCCTTACTGGATCGTGGTCTCGCTGAACGAGACACCGCAATTAAGCGAAAGGCTGCTGTTATTGTTGATAACATGTGCAAGCTCGTCGACGACCCTAACATCGTTGCTCCTTTCTTGCCTAAGATGATGCCCGGTCTGCAAAAGAATTTTGACAACCTGGCTGATCCCGAGGCTCGAGAGAAGACCAAACAGGCTCTCGATACCCTCTTCCGCGTCGGTAACATCAAGGATGGCAAGATTCCCGAGGTTCGCCACGATGGCGATATGCCTACTGTCCTTGCCCATCTCACGGCCGTTATTCCCAGCAAACACGCCAAGACGGCGGAGAAGCTAACCCCTGTCTTGGAGTACATTTCCGCCATCGGTGGACAGCTTGTCGACGAGAAGGAGACCGAGCCGTCTACCTGGGCTACTTCTGTAAAGCCGTTCGTCACGGTTGTCGTTGGAGATGTCGATGCTGAGAAGGTTGTCGAAGGCCTCCGGAAGCGCTCTTCTCCTGGTGTTGAGGATGAGGCCGAACAAGAAGCCGAGGATGATGATGGCGAAGATCTTTGTGACTGCACCTTCTCCCTTGCGTACGGTGCCAAAATTCTACTCAACCAGACTCATCTCCGACTCAAGCGCGGTCGTCGTTACGGTCTTTGTGGTCCCAACGGATCCGGCAAATCTACGCTCATGCGCGCCATCAACAATGAGCAAGTTGAAGGTTTCCCCAAGCAGAGCGAGGTTAAGACTGTCTTCGTCGAGCACGACCTTGACTCTGCTGACACCGAAATGACTACAATCGACTGGACCATGAAGAAGCTTGCCGAGGCTGGCGTCACTACCAGCCAAGCCGATGTTGAGAAGCGTCTTGAGGAGTTTGGTTTCACCCCGCTAATGACCTCGGGAGAAATCACCGCCCTCTCTGGTGGTTGGAAGATGAAGCTAGCTCTGTGTCGTGCCGTCTTTGAGGCCCCAGATATCCTGCTACTCGATGAACCTACCAACCATTTGGACGTGAAGAACGTCAAGTGGCTTGAAGATTACTTGATCAACTCCCCCTGCACTTCCATCATAGTTTCTCACGATAGCGGGTTCCTCGACAACGTCACCCAATATATCATCCACTACGAGCGATTCAAACTGAAGAAGTACAAGGGTAATCTGAAGGAGTTCGTCCGCAAGAACCCGCATGCTAAGTCGTATTACGAGCTTGGAGAATCCGAGATCGAATTCTCCTTCCCGGAGCCCGGCTTCCTCGAGGGTGTCAAGACGAAAGCCAAGGCCATCTTGCGTGCTACCAAGATGAGCTTCCAGTACCCGGGTACGCCCAAGCCACAGCTCACCGACATCAGCTTCCAGTGCTCCCTCGGCTCCCGTATTGCTGTTATTGGTCCCAACGGTGCCGGCAAGTCTACGCTTATCAACGTCCTCACGGGCGAGCTCATCCCGACCGGTGGTGAAATTTATCAGCATGAGAATATTCGTATCGCCTACATCAAGCAGCACGCTTTCGCCCATATTGATAACCATCTCGACAAGACCCCCTCCGAGTACATCCAATGGCGATTCCAGACCGGCGAGGATCGTGAGACCATGGACCGTGCGAACAAGATTATCACCGAGGAGGACGAGAAGGCTATGGACAAGATCTTCAAGGTCGAAGGCTCCCAACGCCGCGTTATCGGCATAAACAGCCGTAGAAAGTTCAAGAACAGTTACGAGTACGAATGTTCTTTCGCTCTTGGCGAGAATGTGGGCATGAAGAATGAGCGTTGGGTCCCCATGATGACAGCCGACAACGCCTGGCTTCCCCGAACTGAACTTCTGGTCTCCCACCAGAAGATGGTCGCCGAAGTCGATATGAAGGAGGCTCTCGCCTCGGGTCAATTCCGTGCGCTGGTCAGAAAGGAGATCGAGTCTCACTGTGCCAACTTCGGCCTCGATGCCGAGCTCGTCTCCCACTCGCGGATGCGTGGTCTCTCAGGTGGTCAGCGTGTCAAGGTTGTACTTGCCGCTTGCTCGTGGCAGAAGCCTCATTTGATCGTCTTGGACGAACCTACTAACTACCTCGACCGTGACTCTCTCGGTGCCTTATCCAAAGCTCTAAAGAAGTTCGAGGGCGGTGTTATCATTATCACCCACAGCGCAGAGTTCACTAAGGACTTAACCGAGGAAGTCTGGGCCGTCATGGACGGTATGATGACGCCTTCCGGCCACAACTGGGTTCAGGGCCAAGGTTCCGGACCGAGGCTGAAGCAAGAAGATGACGAGGAGGAGAAGTTCGACGCCATGGGAAATAAGATTGTGACCACTAAGAAGAAGGCCAAGTTGACTAGCTCCGAGGCAAGGAAGAAGAAGAAGGGTAAGTGACAACCCCCAAGCGAGCGACGAAGCGCTGTTGAGTAGCTAACATGATCACAGAGCGCATGGCTCGCCGAAAGCGCGGTGAAGAGGTCTTCTCCGACGAAGACGATTAGACAACTCGTTGCTGTCCTTGGCACTGCTGATTCTTACGACTTGATTCTGATGAATGAGAGTCTGCTATTCCCTTTGTTTGATGAGCTGAAAAGTTCGGGCTTCGCAGGTTGGGCATTGTTTCCATGATTCTTGCGCGCCGTAGGTTGCACACGCTCGATGCAACCAATAAGGGAGTTTCATCCTTTGGTCGAGCAGGATGAAGTAGGAAAGGCGTGACCTTTCGGGTTTGGAGGTCCAAGTGGTCGAGCCTTTCGAATTCTTTAGTGAGAGGATACCATTGATAGGTAAATAGGTCGACGAATAGATTTGATATACGACGATGCGCCCGTCATCCCGTAATGTGCATGTGTCATAAGCCTCTACACTACTAACTTACTCTAACGATTGCCCTTCCGTATATGGTGAGATCTTGGTACCTATCCAAAGCTCGATCAAGGACAAATCCTTCTCTCTCTCTCTGTATAATTATCATTTTCAAGTCGCTTCCGGGTTTCTTCCCTTCATTCATTGTATCAGGTTGTCACCTCCATTCATCCAGCTGATCAACATACAATTGAATTCTAGCGTCTTCGAATCCGGTTCAACATTCCAATGTTTCGATGGCTTTGTTGCTTGCGCCCTTGCTTTTCGAGTTCAATTTCCGAGAGCGGAGATGCTCGTGGCCTGACAACAAAGACATCTCACCTCGCATGACGATCTAACCAAACGGATATCATCTTGATCGAAAAAATAAGCTATTATCTATTTGCCATAACCTATACCTAGCAGCTTGAGACTGGTTTCAGATACTCATAATAGACGAAGGGCAGTTAACGGTAGATGATATTACTTCAGTATACCTTTCGAAAAGTGAGAGACAGAAAGAGATAGAGAGAGACAGAGAGATAGAGAGCTGTTCCGTGACTGGTGTCATAAGCAACGATGGATCCCGCAGGAGATGCCGCCGGCGACCAGTTCGATGCGGAGGTGAACGAGTTCATGGCACGGGAACACCATAGGATACCGTTTGTGGCTCAAGGTTATGACTGGACACCATTCTTCAGGGCATTGAGCGAGGGAAATGTGACTATGGGCGGACCTAACAGGATTCGCATAGGTAATAGTCGGGATCATAAGTTTCAACCTCCAAAGATGATACAAAAGGATGATCAACCACCACCGGCAATTCGAGTAATACCTAAGCCACCCAATACCGGCTCGTGGGACTATACGTGGTATATTCCTGAGTGGTCTCACCCCGAATTCGATCCTACCACGGTAATCAACTTTAGAAAAGAGGTCAGGCATCTTTCCAACAGAGATCCCATCCATAGGCTATACCCAGCGCTACGAGCCGCGGATCTTATCAGAGGACCTACACAATGGGCGAAACACTTCGGTATACATCCGGACGAGATAGGCGGTCGAAGCCGGCTCAGCCCCACGCTCTCCGCCACCCGAGACCCGTTTGACCATGTTGCGGCTCAGATCAGCATGCTGTCCGACGACTCGAGGCGCCGTGCCATCGAGGTATCAAGAGAGGCCGCCATCAGGCAGGGCGGCCCGTTACCCACCGACCCTAACTATATCAGCCCGGATGCGTTAGAAGCTTTACTAAACCACCACAATGTGCTGTCGGGTAGGGAATTGAAAGAGAGATTGCAGGGGATATTGGGTAGGCCTGGGGCCTTAGACGACGTCACGAACCTCGAGACGTTAGTTCGAAGCCTGAACGAACAGTCACCGGATACCTTCAAATTCCATGAAAACTTTTTGGAGAATTCCTTGAACGACCAGGACTATCAGCGGTTCCTATTCAACGACTTGACGAGTGACGAGCTCCTATCTTATAACTATCTCAATTTGACACAGGAGTTTTTCTGCGACTTGACTACTGAAATTCACCCGTAAGTGCAAGTGCTGGTGCTGGAAGTCTTCCCGATAGAAAAAGAGTAAAAAAAGAAGAGAAAAAACAAAAAAAAACAAAAAAAAACAAAACTCACACTTTGTGGAGGCTCATAAACTGACTACGTATTATTTACCTGCTTAGTGTATTTCAGAGGCATCACTGGAGCGGCTGTAGCTCGAGGGGGGCCATCCCGCGGGAGCCCCGATACCTGTATTCCTTAGGCGGAGAAAGGCATGAATGGGATCCTGTGAGTTATCTTCCTCCCTCTTCCTCTGATAGCTACGTAGTACCTAGTATATATTGACATCGCTGGGAGTCAACCAACGACGTTCTATGGAACGCACTACGGCCCGCGTTACAACTCGCGTCGAGTATCATCAACATCGAACATCCTATGCTTCGCAAGTTGTCAGATTTGAGAAATAGACAACAGATAGACGCTGCGAGGGACAATCGACGTTCGCCCCAGACAGCACACATGTGGTCGATCCAACAACAAATTGCAGAAAATTTGGAGAGGACGCCTCCGGGAGTTAAAGAACTCGTTGATATGGGGTTCGACTGGATTAAGGAAACGTGGGAAGCCATCTCTCACGCGCTCGTCATCGATCTTAACAGCGGCTACATGCTAATAGACGACGATGAGAAAGACCTTCTTAAAGTAGACGAGGTCGTGACGTTTGGATACGGGACCACAAGAAGCCACCATGCCGGTCAAAATTCTCGCATACATATGACTATGAGCATCGAGTTGCTTTGGCCGTTGTTGGTGCCAGAATACACTGGCAGCGAGAAGTTGACGACGACCTACCAGATAGCCTCAACTTTACTACACGAGTTTGGGGTAAGCTATATTTCAACACACATACACACATACACATACACACACACACACTCTCTCTCTCTCTCTCTCTCTCACTCTCTCTCACATACACACACATACACGCGTATATATATATATATATATACACACACACGCACATATACATATACCTGTGTGCTATATCTTGGATCGGTCCCCCCTTTCCATCTTTGATTAATATCCACTGCGGAGAGGATTAAGCTTACTAATACATGTATCTACATCTATAGCATGTCATCATCCAAGCCCACATGTTGCTGACGTATGACCGAGATTACTGTCAATGGAAGGGCTACAACCAGCGCACGATCGACATACTCATGAAATTGGGTGATGAGCTATTTGACCAGCATAGCGGAGCGGCAGAGCCCTTCTACGACGATCACACGACGAATGAGTGTGGGTACGAACTGGAAAAGTCGATCTGGGGCGAGCCCGTCTTGAATCTATTACATAACGACACCCTGGTCCATAACCGACATATGTCGACCATTCCCTTTGTTGCTGCCCATATGCCGTTCCCCTTCGGCGGAGACCCCGCCGGGGCAGCTTATTCTCCTCTCAAGAATTCCATATACCCAGTAATGGACTACATAATACCGCTCCCTGTCGAGTACATGGCCAAGTTCTTCACACAGAACTTTTGGGACACGGATTTCGTGGCGTACGGGATCGAATCTCTCAAGTTGGTTTCGGGGAGCCACGCTTCCAGGACTGTCATGAGACCAGACAGGCTCGACCCGAGACGCTGCGAGCAAACGTTTGGCTTGTACGAATACTACTTCTTGGATTTCGTATCGGGCCTATTGCGGCACAATGAATTCGTCACGTTGTCGGAATACATAACACGGTCTATGGTGTTGGCTCTGATGCCTGGCGCCTATGTCGATCGCTGGGCTCTGGAGATGGAAAGATGGAAAATTGGATGGATGGCAGACCTCGATAAGAGCGTAAATCATCTCAGGTCTCTCGTCATAGAGGCGAGACAGACCTGCCAGGAGACCAGGGAAACTCAACTGGGCCTGACGAGAAGCTGGCAGGAGTACGTACTGAAAGCCCAAGAGAACGGAGAGGAATATGTGGACCTAGAGCGGTGGACGTTAGATGTCAAGATCCGTCTAGTTGAGACGTTTCGCAACGGAGGCGTCCTGATGGGCTCGTTCCTTGTCGTTTACAGGGCGCTTATGGACGAAGTCAGATACATGCAGCGGTTGGTATTCGATGCCTTTAATCTACACCCCGACGCCATGCGACGTCTGGACGGGTACGGGACCGGCGTCACACGTGGCTGGCAAGCCATCGCGCCCCTGAGGGATGCGCATCAACGGTTGATTACAGATCGCCAGAGGGCGCGCTGGTGTCTTAGTGTGATCGGAGAGATATCCAAGATAAACCACTTGTCCGGGATCAAAGAACAGTGGCAGGAATGGGGGAGCAGATACGAGCTCTGCTGGAAAATGTTTGACGAACTTATCAAGATGCTGGACGAGCCACCCGCGCCCGGCGCCGACGACAGGACCTGGAAGAAGCGCTTCTCCACCGTACCGTCCTCTTATTGGAAGAGGGACGTAGATCGTATCCAAGTCCTAGCGCACAGAGACTATCTTCGAGCAGACCCTCGCATCCGCCAGATCGTAGACGATTGCATGCTAGTTCTTCGTGAAGCGAGCAAAAACAACAACAACAATGATGATAACAATAACAATAATAACAATAACAACAATAATAACAACACGGCGAATCCTGGACAGTTTAAGGCGCCCGACGTTAATTCCTTATCTGAGGCTTTGCAGAAGACGAGTGGCATCCAGCCAGAAGCTGTGCCTCAACCCCCTTCTGACGTGTTTGCTTGGACTGCGCCGTCTGCCGAGCAGCTTCAAAATATTCTCAACCAGGCTCCGCCACCAGGCCGCGGCACCGGCGGTCCCGCGGTCACGGGAGGTCCCGCGAATACGGGGGGTGTCACGTTCGGTCAACCAGGCCAGATTGGCTCGTTGTCCCAATTAGGATCAATCCCTCCCCGTCGGAATGATGGCCCGGCGCCGCGTGATGGAGGTGGTGGTACGGGGTTCGACACTTGGGCTAAGAGGGGAGGGTTCGACCAAGGAGCGGCACAGGTCTCATTCGGCCAGGGAGGGGCTATAGCTGTCCCGCCGACGATGGATGGAGGGTCAAGGTTCACTGGACGCGGACCCGGCACTTTGTTTTCAGCTGCAGGCGCAGCTGTCAGCACGTTGACGTCGGATATAAGGCACTTCAACGAGATTGCGAATGCCGCCGAACCTGGGCAGGCTGCCGGGGGTGCGGCCACAGGATTGTACAATCCGAGTCATCAGGGCTATCGAGATTCAAGGGTAACGTTTGACGAGGATAATGAAGAGCCAGAAGTAAGGGGGCGGTTTTCTAGAAGCCATAGCCTCCCTGGTGGCGAGGCTAATAGTCCCCCGAATGCCAGTGGCCCAACTTCGGCTCCCACTCCTTTTGCCTCACCTCCGGGCCAGCTTTTCGCCGAAGACGCAGACTTCTCAGATCTCCTCCAATATACTGATGGTCCCTTTCAATTCAGTGCGTTGGATAACATGGATTGGGATTCACTTCCGGACGTGAATCTGGATGAGTGGATACGGGATGATCCGGAGTAACTTGCGAAAGACGGGGTCGTACAAGATCATATAGATCTAATGAGTTGAGTTGATTTGGTTCGAGGATTCACGAATGGTTTTATTGCTTCTCCTCTCATTTGCGGGATCAGATGAATTTCATGCCAGTTAAAATGTAAATGTATTCTCACCTTGCCGTCCCATCTACGTGCTGTTCCTCCTCCTCCTTCTCCAAAAAAACTAGGGTTAACTATAAAGGTTATAAAAATTCGAAAAGCTGGTTGATTACTTGATAGGTAGATTGATTGATATACAGTATACTCTGCTGTGGGTATAGATATAGGTAATATATATAAAAGCATGGTCAATGAAACCGGTCCTGCTTCATTGCGAACGCTTCAGCCCCTCGAGAGCCTCTGCCCCTTCCAACGCCTCCTGTTGGGCTAGTTCCCACCGGAGCTGGTCTGACGGACTGGGGGTTTTGTCGTATATTGCCGTGTCTGCTTCCCGGGGAGGCTTTCTGTAATTGGTCGTCTCGTACCGTAGCTTGACAAGTGGATCGCTAAAAAGCATCGGATGGGTGGCTTGACGTATGGCGAAAACCTTCGGCTGTACTATTGGCGGCAAATTAGCTAGGGGACTGCGCGGCGACACATTTAGACTGGGCTCCAGCGGTTTGATCCGAGCCGGGGGTGAACGCTCCCATCCAGGATGGAAAGGGGGCAGAATCGGACCTTTCGAAGGAAGCGTACTATAAATCGGAGGAGGAGCTAATCGATTCTCGGCCTCGACCTCCCTACTAATGCGTCGAGGGGGCGCGGATGGCGGAAATGTAGGCTTCCGTGTTCGCGAGACTGTAATGCCAACCGGGACACCATCGATAAGCTTCCGCTTTCGCTGGCGAGGATGAACTTTAACAGCGGCAGTGATGGAACTAGGCGGCGTATAGGCTGGTGTTGTTTTCTTCTCGTGTAGCGTCGCCGCCTTGTCGAATTCGGCCATCCTAACAGGTGTGGGAGATTTACCAGAACGCGCCAGCTCTTGGGCGGCTTTTGCGTATTGATTCCGACTGTTGCAGGTAGTTAGGAACTTAGCCTTAACGGCGGGCCTGGACTTCATCTCCGAGTCAGTAGGAGCAACAAGAGCCGCTGGTGCAGATTTCCTCGCTTTCCTCGCCTTAGTGATCGCCGCCGGACGAGGCTGTCGAGATGTTGAAGGGGGATGAGGATGAGGGTGAGGATGAGGGGGTGGCGCGGCTGGCGGGGGCTGTTGAGGAGGTTTATATCCAAGATTATCAAAAGGACGATCACCAATCTTGGCTAAAGTTTGGAATATCTCCCAGACCACGTACGCGCCGCATTGGTAATCGTTTCTCATGGAAGAGGGATTCTTAGGTGGCGGCCGAGGTTTGTCCAGTTCGATTGTATGTCGTCTTTTCGCCCCAAGACTCACTCGCTTTTTCTCGGCGATGCTTTCGCGCTTTTTGAACATAATCTCTTTTTTCTTCTCCGCCAAGGCTTCACGTCTTTGCTTTTCGGATTCAAGTACCTCGTCAGGTGATAGCCAAAGATAAGGCTTTCTATTTTTCAGGTCCTCAACCCAGGCGTCACAATCCCACTCGATCCAGTAATCTATGATGTCTCCCCATGCGCTTTCGGATGGTTTTGTCAAATTGATGAACACCACCCTACCCCCCTTTTTATGCACAGCCTTGGCAAATTCCTTGACCATCACTTTGAGCCCGTGAACTCTAAGGCTTGTCCCAAGTATCAGGAGAAGATCCGGTCCGGCAGAAAGGTCATGTTGCACTATGGGGGATATCAGGTCAGACTGAGGGTGTTCCTCTCCATAGAGAACAATATCGGGTCGGAGCTTGCCAACACCTAAGGCTCGCTTTCCTTTCTCCTGGCGTGCAGCCGTTGCCCCCGCGCAATGAGGACACTCAGGTTGTTCGCCCAACATCGTACAGGATTCCCGGCCATCTTCATCCCAGTTGCAGAGCTTTCCACAAACAAAGCACCGCAAGGAATTTAGAGAACCATGGAGGAAAACGCATTCAACACCCCTGTTTGGGGCCAACGCTGATCGGGAATTGGTCCGTCCAGACCCGTCAGTACTCTGTGAGGCCTGTCCAGCATCAGGATGATTAGGATCATCGTTGATCTTCAGCGGCTCCTGGTTCTCTTTGCAGTCTTTCTCGGAATCCACCACTTGCTGCTTAGCAGACTTCCTCCTTCTATTGCCTGCACCATTTTTGAGGTCCGTCGAAAGACCAATCTTCTTTTCAATCTCGTCGATGTTTTGTGTATACACTCTTGCAAGCTTCCCAGCATCGCGGAGCCGGGCAATAAAGTGATGGGTTGTAGTCGGTTCTACTTCCTTTACTTTCTGCCTTAACGTCGTAGCAAACCGGTAGAATACAGATGTCTTGAGCGGATCAGACCATATATTACTGTCGAATAAATCACGACCTTTCATATTTCGCAAGCTCGAGTTGGATGTCTGGGAAGAAAACAGGTCCAGTGAGTTCTGTGTCTCTTCAGAATCAGATGTGTCGGAGTTTTCCGTAGACGAGTTTGCATTTTCGTAAGGGTCAAACAGAATAGGGGGAGGTGAAGAGAGAGGTGAGGAGCTGAATGTTTCGCTCAACATGGCTCGAGGGGTTGCAGCTCTCACTTGGGCGTCGCCGACCTCTTTTGCTTCGTAGGAAGACGACTCTTCGGTCTGAGACGAGGCACTTGAGAATTGTGGTGCCGAGAATGATGAATCTTGACTCGCAGAAGACTGTATAGAGGATTGAGTCATGTTTCTATGTAGAATTGGTCGTAGTCCCGGTCGTGAGTGTGCGAGCCGGCGGAGCGAAGGTTGGGAAGATATTGTTTCCACCTCCGGCTTTACAAGGAGGTCGCCTCCGGTGTAGGAAGACAACCTCTCTGCACTTGTCTCATCTCGGCTCTTGCACTCACTCGGGGCTCGTGTGACCCTTTTGGGCACTTCCTGTTCATTTAGGCATCCAGCTGCATGAAATATTCTTCTTCTTTTTGTAGGGCGCCCGCTTGAGGCGAAGTTGGCAGCCTGTTCATCGATATCATTGGGATGACTAGCTTCTGCTCGTTCGAATTGCGCCTGAATAAGCGAGTATAGCCCATTTTCGGAGCGAAAGTCCTGCTCAGCCGGTTAATATCCGTATACTCGTATATATATTTGAAAGGGATGAAGGGGGCGAAAACATACTGGGATACCAGAATTGGTGCTTATGCCGGCGCCAGTAATGATGACAACTTTCCTTGCCTTCCCGAGCGAGTCTGCCACATGCTGGAGGAGTTCTGAAGATGTAGGTTTGACCTCAAGAATAGGCATCTTGAACGGTAGGAATTAACCGTGAATTAAAAGGGATTGTTGTTCAAGGGCCGTGTTTAAGCATCATCGCGTAATGATAGCGGGTGTTGTACACGTAACGGTAACCGTAGCCGCAGGGGAAGTTCGTATTATAAGCATATATAGCTGTCGACTTCTCCCTCTCTCACTTGTTTAGCTCTCTAAACGCTAACGTCCGGAGTCCAAGCTCAATTGGCTTCAAGGTGGGCGAGGCGACCGCATAGGAGGGGTGGGAAGACTGAGAACAAAGACGCGTCGGTACGCGCCTATTCCGAACCTAGTAATAGTCCTTGCTATCCTCTCGCAACTGACAAGACACAATGGAGCATTGGTGGCTGAGATCGGGGTTTCTGCTGAAATCGAGCGCGTGATGGGATTATTACGGGAAGTGGACGGTCGGGAGGAGATTTATTAGTCGCGTAAAAGCTAGAAACCGGAGGATAGGGTAAAGCAATCGTTAGAGGGTACTCGTTAGTGCTGTAGCTTAATTTAGTTGCAAAGAACCAGGCAGCTTCTCTCATTCATGTCCTAGACAAGTTCGAGATAATAGAAGACGCTGACAGGAAATGTATGATGAAGGAGGAAAGATGAGGATATGGAAATAGGTAGGTACGTAGTTAATTGCTTGCCTCTAAATTACTGGGTACTATGTATGGTGCGATGCAAGGCGCGAATCGGTCTTTAGGTTCTACCTAGTAGGTACCTAGCTGATGTGGAGTCGGTAAACACTGATTGATCTCTGTGATTGACGGCAGCAGCTAACGGACCCGACGCGTGCTAAATTTGGATACCCCACCGATTCCTGTTCTACTTGCCTGGAATGGGTAAGCTGGAAAGGTACCTAGGTACCTTACCGCCTTGGGGGGGGTTATCTTTACCGTTATTATTCCGTTCATTAAATATCCACCGTATGTATATGGCTTAATGCAATGAGCAGTTCCTTATTAGAACGTTCGAAAATTGATTGGCTCAAATTTTAAACCATATATGTACGGCTCTTTCCCAAAACGCTCATGAATTTAATAACGCTAACCTGATTGAACCGCTCTTTCCTGGTTCAGCCAATCGAATCGTATATATACAGCTCAAGTATCGCTCAATTTGGATTGAATTGCTCAATTGATTTGAACTGCTCGAACTTTTCGAGCGCTCGAATTTTGAACCGTTAATGCAATATCATCACGTGCACCGGGCCATTTTAGGTTAAAAGCCCCCGCTTTCTAGGTTGGTCATAGACTAAAACAGAACCTTATTCATCTACGCGTAATATTCGTAAGCCTCCCGTAGTCAAGTGGCAAAGCGACCGTACCTAGTAGCTCATCCAATTAAAATCAGTAAAACCTATGGTTCGAGTGTGACTATTTCCAAAAAACTGTGCAATTGAACTGTGTGATTATATAATAAAATAAGCAATTCTAAGTACTACTTCCATATAAATAATATGGGAGCAGTACTTAGAAATATCTCTTTTTTCTTTTTATTCAAGTAGTGGAGCGATTGAGCCGCTTAAATGCTTAGCGGCTCAAAAATATAAGCCGCTCAATAGATCGAACCGTTCAAAAGGTATTTTGACGGCTCATTCTAATTGGAGCGTTCTGATATTAGATCGTTCAATTATCTTGAGCTAGTCCAATTTAGTAGCGTTTGAGCTTTGCTGAGCCATCTAATTGGCTGGAGCCGAAGCTAAAATTTTGCGCGCAACGTTCCATAAACCTAATTGAACCGCTCATATTTGGAGCCGTATATATACTGTACATATACGGTTAAAATTCCCCGGGAAACCCCCCAAGGTAGGTACCTACCCGGATGCATCATGGATGTATAGGGTAAGTACGAACTACCTAGGTACATACATCGCTTCCATGCCATTCAATTCAATTCAATTTTAAAAACCCAAATGTTATCGACAACTTGGAACACTCAACTTCGCGTTTACATAGGTAGATTCGAACAGCAGATAACCAACACACTTCGGCAGCCAAGTATTTTGAATCCGTCACTCATCCCAATACGTCTATCAGCTTCTGGAAGTCACCAACAGAACCAAGACCCGTCACGCAGTCATAGCCTTTCACGCTTTCCCACCCAGGCTCTTTTTCATCATCAAATAAACAGTTCTGGCTTACGCCTACGGTAACGTCTTGCAAGGCTTCAATCACTGTCGGTGAATATAGGACTGGGTTGAGCCAGCCCGTGCTGTTCTTCCCAGCCTTCAACCTCGAATCGTTGACCAGAGCTATTAGTGCCGCGACCACCGGGGTGCTTGCGCTCGTCCCGAGGACGTCCGTCTCATAACCCCCTACTTGAATGACGTAATTTGTTCCGGTAGCGCTGATGTCCGGAAACGCCCGGCCAGTGTCGTTATATAGTCCTCTATGCGACCCGTTGGCCATCAATGCTGATACGTATCCGTCTACCGCCTCTTTCTGCCACTCTGGTCGAGCGAAATAGTTACTGAATCCTCCGGTGCTAAAGTCAGCACCCTCAAGAGGTAGGGTGTTGCCCGTCGCTCCCACCGCCGTGACGTATGGGCAGCTTGCCGGAAACGTTGGGAGGAACATTCTACGTCTCTGGCCGTCGTTGCTATAGCACCGGTTCTGCCCGATCCCGCTAGCGCCGCCATCTCCCGACCCGGAGAGGATCGTTACTCCGCGCGCTGCCAGAACGGCAAAAAGATCGCACACTCGGATCGCGTAAGAGATCGGCACGGACTGCTCGTCGTCAGCGTACGAAATACTTATTATGTGAGGTATCTCATCGTCGCTGAGATCTAAAAGATATTGTGCGAACTCTAGGTACGGCTCATTGTCACTTCGATTAGACGGGAGCAGGTCGCCGTTTGGATCAACTTTCTCGCCTCGCCCCCCAGTCGAATAGTATATTACGTTCGTCGGATAACCGAGAGCCATGGCGTACTCTACATCTAAGCTGGCCTCTAATCCCGCCCTGGAATCCGGAGTGTTGGGCTGGGGATTCGTGCCGTTGTTCGACGTCGCTACAGTAAACGTGTAATTCAGGGGTCCAAGTTCAGGTGAGTATCTTGCAAGGAACTCCGAGACGTCCTCGTACTTGATCCACTGCTCGAGAAATCCGGCAATGCCAAACCTGACGGGAGATTTGGTGGGCGTTGTGGTGTTAGCGTACGTCACATTATAGAGATCTTTAAGACATGCTGGCTTGACCCCAGCCGGGCAAGGCTGCTCGTCAGTGGAGGCTGAGACTGCAGAGGCCTTCCGAGAAGTCTTGGTCCTGAGCTTAGATTGTGATGGAGACATGAAGTTGGAGATCGGGTATATAAACTCGATAGCCCCGTCAACGGAACGGGGTAGCGAGTACGACTGAGCGCGCAAGACCGGAGAGTGTTCCTTAAACGAATAGTAGCCGAGCGTGGTGTCGAAAATCCTATTAGCTTCCGCCACTGTCGAGGTAATTTTTATCACTGACCCATCGACAATTGTGTCAGTGACCCCGTTCGACACGAGCCACGAATGGACCAGTTCTAGCGCTATCTTGTCTGGCTCCTGGTACGTCTTAGCTTCGTCTCTCGTGAGATGGTGTCCGTACTCGGCACTCATTTTATTGCTAATATGATCGAGCCTAGCTTTTAGTTCATTTATCCGTGGCTGTTTGAGTGCGATCGATAGTTTGATAGGCTCTTCTGCGTTCGCTTCCTTCGCAAATTTCCATCCCATCGGTAGATTATCGACCACTTCACGAGCCTTCAGTGATTCTGCGGCCGTGTAACTTGTCCACGCTCCGGCAAGAGCACTCAGGAGGACCAACCTCATCCTTGCTGGACTCGTCTAAGATCCTAGGACTGTTAAAACCCGAAGGGCAGATGATCCTTCAGTCAGATTACTATAACTTCGATATGCCTTCACTAGGGGTTAGGGCAGTCATTACCATCATACCAAAGGAACATCTACTCAAGCAAGGCGTTTATTTGCCCACAACATCCCATCAAGTAGGGTTTGAAGTACGCGACAGAGCGTAGGGCACAAGCACAAGCTCGCTTAAAAGCGACTACATTGGCATATACAACCGGTTTAGCCGGGGTAGAAGTTGCACAACCGTTACGAATTCGGCGAATGGCCGGGGTTTCTTCATGCTCATTTAGGCTCGTGAAGCAGATGTTCCTGTCTCGTGTAAAGAGGTCAATCAACTCGGCGTGGTGACTGGGCTTAAAAATAGAAATGATTGCACGGAATCAACGTGAGCGGATACTTAATGTCGCAACTATGGCCATAGCTCCCGCAATCGATGGCATCTACAAGGTACCTATCCATATAAACACCCGAAGTTCGCGAATATCGTTCTCGAATAGAATCGAATTCCTTTCATGCTGATCTATCAACTTCACCGCACCGGTGCCGCATGAACCATATCAGCATTAATATACTTATACATACCTACATACCTACATACCTACATACCTAACAGCACACAGGTACCTATTTACTCAAGATTAAACTTCTCCCCAATTAGCTCTTCGCTTAAGCGCCACAGGCGCTCAGCTATTGCCGGATCTGTGGTGTAATCTGCGCTAGGAAAGAATTGACAGTCGGCCAAGTATATATCGGTAGGGACTGGTTCTTAGCGGTTAGCGGGAATCATCAGGTAGAGGAGGAGAGCGCATACCGTCGAGGGCCGGATCCAATGCCGCCACGAGAGTCGTCGATGCACCTTGGTCGACGTTCTTCCAAAATTTAGAGGTTTTCGCGATAGCGTCAGCCATCTCCTCGTCATGCTCTCGGCCAAGGTTACTGCTCACGCCTAAACAGGCTTAAGCAAGTTTCTCATTCACATAGGTAGGTACTAGGTAGGTAGGTAGGTAGGTAGGTAGGTGATTATTGGTACTGGGCAATGGATAGGTAGACAGTATATTTCTTACCTCCTGGATGTACAGCATACGATGTGATTCCCTTCTTCTGTAGATGATCTTGTAGATAAAGAGTAAACAAGATGTTGGCCGTCTTGCTCTGTGCATATGCAATGGTAGGCATATATCCATCGTCCTGGACCCTTGCGAATGTAGGAGGGAGAGGAGAGAACGGTTTCTCTTCTGGAGGTACTTCTTTGTTTTCAATATTGTAGTCGTGGAAGCGTATCGTAGATAGTCGGTGGCCATGGCTAGAAAGATTCACCACGCGAGTTGCTCCCGCGGGAGACTGTTTGGTAGCTGCTTCTAAAAGGGGGAATAGCAATTTCGTAAACAAGAACGGGCCAATATGATTTGCACCGAATTGAATCTCGATTCGCTCCACTGTCCATCGACGGGAGTTGTAAGTCGCCCCGGCGTTATTGACCAAAATATCCAGCTTCGTGATCATCCCATCGACTTCGGTAGCTGCCCTACGAATAGATGCCTGAGACGCCAGATCTATCGTAACCGTCCGTATATCGACACCGGGGTACAAGTTACGAATGGATTTCGCCACTTTATCGAGTTTTTCTTTTGTTCTCGAAGCAAGAATCAAAATCTTTGGTTTCTGCGAGGCGAATGCAACAGCCGTTCCCTCGCCAACACCCTCAGGCGAAACACCTGTAATCAGAACTATTTCTTACGAAAAGAATAAATTAAAATCAGAGCCTCCAAGGGAAATAAAGGAGGACTATAAGACAAGGTTCTCACCATTTCTACCTCTAATTCTCTGTGTATAGACTTTAGCCACTTCTAGCCCGGACGTTTTCTCCCCCCATTCTGAGTGCGATGTCATTTTGGAAATTTGACTCTTTATAGCATGATGATTATCTAGGTAGAAAATAGATGTGACTATGGTTCAGTTGAAATTCCGCCTACAATATATGATAGAGGTACGAGGTACTACCCGAAGCTAGCTGGCACTGCCATAATTTGGGGTCGTCGAGGGGTTCGGGCGGCATGGCTTTTGGTATGGGCGATCGGTCGTTCTAGGCCGAGGATTAACGACAGATTATAGCCTAAGATCAGGAAACAGAAGAAAGGTATTATGTAGAGAGTTCTCAGGAGGCTAACATGGCTCCTACCCAATAGTCGACCACGATGCCCGGGCAAACTATCCAACGGTCTCGAGCCGATATTCCCTCCTTCGTCACCTTTGCCCAGGCTAGGGGACAGCGGCTGGAAAGGGTCAGCCCTTTACCAACTTGGGTCAATATTGGAGGGGGGCTCCCATGTAATCTGTCCCCGCCCCCGCATCGCGTGTTGGAGGGATGGAGTTGTCTCCCTAGTAGTCTTGGATGCAACCGGCATATTTAAACGTCGATTGAGTCAAGACCCTATTGGTCATCACTATTCTCCTAAGTAGTTTGATCATCCAGTCGCAACTTGGGGGAATTCCTAAGCTTCCTGTAGCGAGGGGACTCTCCATACAATCTTGACACGCCTCGGGAAATTCTTTGCATTGTATCATCAAGATGTCAACTCATGGTCACACCAATGGTGCAACAGGGCGAACTAAGACGGGCGTGAAAGTTCTAGTGGTTGGAGCCGGTACGTACGCCATACATATTACAGAGAGCTTCTAAAGCTACCTTGTAAGGGGTTGATAAGTCTGACATTATTTCCCCTTTTTCCCCTATTATTAGGATTCGGCGGGTTAGGAGCAGCGATAGAATGCCACCGCCAAGGACACGATGTCGAGATACACGAAGCCTTCCCAGAACTCAAGACCCTAGGTGATATCATCTCGTTTGGACCGAATGCGGGAAGAATATTCTATCGCTGGTCGGATGGCGAGGTCGTCCGACGAATGCGACCCCTGAGTATCGACTTGAGAAAGTATGGCTTCAATATCCACAAGTATGACACTGGCGAGATTGTCATTAATCAGAAAACGCCCGAATACGCGGTGGATGCCCCGAATTTCAATGGACACCGAGGAGAGCTGCACGAAGTAGTTTTCAACTACGCCAAAGACGACCTGGCCATACCGATTCATCTGGGAAATAAGATTGAGAAATACTTCGAGAACGACAAAGAAGCTGGAATAGTGCTGGAAAGTGGTGAAAAGGTCTGTCATATTATTGTCGTCGATTCTAATCGCTGTTGTTAGCTTACCACGCCAGAAGATTGCCGCCGATGTGGTGATCGCGTCGGACGGCGTACGTTCCAAAGCTCGGAAAGTCGTACTGGGATATGAAGATAGACCAAAGAGTAGTGGGTACGCTGTTTGGAGGGCATGGTATTACATAGTTCTGCCTTTTATGATTGAATGCGCCGACAGCTAAAATTCGATGTTCAGGTTCCCAAACAAGGACATGCTCGCAGACCCGAAGACCGCGCAATTCTGCAACAACGGCGATACTTTTAACGGCTGGATAGGGCCAGATATGCACTTTTTGTTTAGCACCATCAAGAATGGCTCCGATTGCTGCTGGGTCTTGACGCACCCCGACGAACATGACATCGACGAGTCTTGGAGTTTTCCGGGCAAGCTCTCGGAAGTGAAAGAGGCAATAAAGGATTGGGATCCGCTATGCACTCAGATCATTTCCAAGACACCCGAAGAAATGCTCGTCGACTGGAAACTGGTTTATAGAGATCCGTTGCCTACCTGGGTCAGCCCGTCAGGGAGGATTGTCCTTCTTGGTGACTCGGCACATCCGTTCCTACCTACAAGTGCGCAAGGTGCTACACAGGCACTCGAGGACGGTGTGGTCATTGCTGTATGTCTGCGCCGCGGTGGAAAGGATAATGTTCCTGTCTCGGTCAGGGCACACGAGAAGATTAGATACGATCGTGTGCGCGAAACCCAGAAGACCGGCGAAAGCACACGAGATATGTGGCATAAAACCGATTGGGAAAAGGTCAAGAAGAACCCTGAGAGTATTCAGTTCCCTCGTCAGGATTGGATCTTCGATTTTGATGCGGAGAAAAACGCGGAGGAGTCATACGAAGACATCGTAAAGGAACTTCTCAAGGCATAGGTCACTTCTCTTTCCATGTTGCCCTATTTTCATATAGATTTTATCGACCTTGAGCAGTATATGACTAGGTAGCTAGCTATTTTGAGTAGATCCGATGTACGTCAGATATACAGCGACCTTTCATAAAAAAAAATAAAAAAAAAAAATAAATAAATTGTAAAAGAATAGTTGCGTCAATTTGCTTCACCTGGACTGGGGTGGATAGGTCATGAATCAGACCAAGAGAAATCGAAATCCCAGCCCCTCTTTTCAAATCCATCATACTAGACAACAACGTCTTTTCTTCATAGTTTTATTTCTCTTCCCTTAGCACTTCCAGCCCTCTCTTCGATACATTCTGTCTGAGCTTTCTCCTCGAGGACAGCATGGCTTCCTGTGCAATGATATTTGCGGAATTTTCGAGCAGGGATCCGAGCCTCGAACTATGTTCCCGGTGGTTAGCGAATTCAGCTATCTTTACAGCATCTTGGAACCTCACCATTTCGTCGATCTCCTCAAGAGTACGGTCCTTCACTTCTGGCAGGAAGAAATAGATCCAGGTACCTGCGACAAGGGATGAACCGGTCCATATATACCCATACTTTGGCCCCCAATTGAGCGCGTCGGGATTGATGAAATACGGCGCCGTGAACGCTAGGTTGACTTTATGTTAGTCATCCTAGGAGTTCCAAGGTTAGCTCTGAGGGTTGAAACGTACTGGTAAGCCACTACGAATCATTAGCTCTACGTTCTAGAGGACTATGTACAAAAAGAACTTACAGCGAAGAAGAATCCCACTCCTGTCGCTAGCCCGAAAGTGTGCGAGCGAAGACGCTGTGACGAAAGCTCACCTCCAGACAACCATGCATAAGGTGCGACCATGGCATTATAACTAAGAAATGAGAGTTAGCGATGATTCTGAAATAACAGTTCATGTGTTTTTTAAAAAGCAAATCATGTAGTTAGGTTATGGTTCGATGATTACTAGGTACTGAGGTAGTCTTGGTAAAGTGAAAAAAAAATTGAGTGAGGGCACAACGAAGCGCTCAGTATCACTTACGCGAATATGTAGAGGACACTCATCCCAATGAGGGCTTTGCCCGAATTTTGAGTGTTGGGATGTATTGTGTATACCACGGCTATGATCAGCTGAGATATCCCGCAGAGAGAGAACCCCACAAGCATCATTAGTCGTCGACGCCCAAATTTTGTGATCAAAAGGGCGGTCGCGAGAAGCGCAGCCACACCAACACCGGTAAGGATGCACGAATTCTCGAAAGCGTTTCCTACATTTGCCATCTCAAAGAAGTAAGTTCCGTATGCTAACATACCAGTATCAGCGAATTAAACGGGACCAGTATAAAACGAGGAGTACGCACATATAACATACATAGAACCAGACGCTGCTTGGCTCGTCAATGCGCACACAGCAATCGTGGTTCTACGACGATCGATGGGATTCTTGAAAAGGTCCAGATATCCGATTCCTGCCTGGAGTTGGGCTTCAGCTTCAAGTGTCGTCCGCATTTCCTCTATTTCCTGCCCAACTGCCCATCCTTGAGGTCTAAGTCGTCGTAAAGCCTGCTCAGCCTTTTCGAAATCCCCCCTCGCCGCGAGCCAACGAGGCGATTCGGGAATAAAGAAGAGCCCGATAGCTAAAATACCAGGCACGACATGTACAATTCCCAAGGGGGTTATATAGGCGTCTCGGGTTGGGATTTTTGCTGCGAAATTATCGACAATGGTACCAATTAAGGACCCTAGAAGCGAGTTAGAGGGGTAATCGGTTCATATTATAGTGTAGATAAGAATAAAAAATCTTACCGAATGATATCCAATACGAGAAAAAAGAAATGCCCAATCCTCTGTAACGGCTTGGAACACTTTCCTATAGCGAGAAATAAGTTACCTGTGGTGTTAATAAAGCTTCACTGTATGCCCATACCTGAATCTATAACATTTTAGTATCTTGAGAGTCAAAAAGAGTTCTGCGGAATGGTCTGCATCAAACTATGTCTCGTTTCCCTTCATTTCTATAGTTTATTCCGTCGTCGTTCTTTCATCCGTTCTAACTCGATTTTTGTAGCTTTTGGGGATATAATAGACTACTTACTATTATCGAGTCAGTGCTTGCATGTGGAAGTCGAAAGGCGAAATATGAAACGATCTCACAAGGAAGATAAATAGATTAAGATCCGGAGGGGGCTTTTCACATACCGTAAAGTTGGGAATGTGTCATTAACAGCCCGTTAGCAAGACCTATTATAAGTCTTCCAGTGTACAGACCCCCTATATTCGTAGTAGCTTGCATGAGTGCAGTGGATACAAAAACACCAATGCAAGCAATCCACTTCAGCGACAAGAGTCAGCGATTAATTATTTGGCGGGGGTTTTTAGAACTCTCCAACATATCTCGAAAGCAAAAGCTCGTCGACCTGCTGGATTAAGATGTTGTCACCCCCGAGACGCACCAAAAGGGAGGCATACCAGAGATAACTTTCGACCAATGTACTTGGCCGTGAAACCTGTAGAAGATGAAGAGACAAAGGCGCCGAGGACCATCAAAGATGCGATTAGCTGTTGCCTGTCGGCTTGGATGTTATATCCAAGGGGGATCGATGGATCTTTTTTCCCGAAGACCTTGAAGTTGATGTTTGAGCAAAGTGCTAGACAGATTGGCCATGGAAACAACAACTATAACTACACACCTGAAGGAATGGAACCATGGCCTGAAGACCACCAATTATCCCGAAATCAAGACCATATTGGAAAGAGCTTAGGGATACCAGAGTCATGGCAATCATCGCTTTCCAATGGTCCCTTACCCCCCAGGTTTTCTCTTGATCTGATGCCATCTTGATTGCGAGTGAAGGGCTTCTAAGTTGGAAAGATAGAAAGTAGAATGTGCTGGAGGTCTCCCTCGCTCGCATAAGTGCTACCCACCTTCACTTAAGACTTGAGCTCCGTGCTACGCATAGTGGCGACCCTGCTCACAGCTACAGGGAGCCTGTATTATTCGGCCCTTGGTTTGGATGTGCCGTCGTGAGCGTGCAGGTTTTCGTAAACGTAGCCATAAATGCCAAATGATTCCGTATATGAAATCCCTGCTGCTCTATTGTTCAGCAGACCTCTCCAGGCTTGATCGACTACCCTTTCCCCCATGCATTCGCTATAGCTATAGCTAACGTAGCATTGCCGGCTAATCTGCTGCAACCTCACCTTGGAGAATTCGACCCCATTCCCCGCCATGTGACGGATGAGGGGGACCGAGATCATATTGGGTGTTATAGTTGCTTCTGGTAGATCTGTGCCAAGGTCTTGTCCTATTTGATTCGTCGTATTTTAGGCTTCATTTCCCTGAAGTCGCTGTGTGTTTTCTTCCCATAAATAGTATGCACCTAGGTAGGTAGGTATAGGTATCCATGCTGTTTGTGTGCCATTATATTTATTATTGTAATAATAAATATAAAAGGACAATGATTTCGGCGTCTGTGTGCCTGGAAGGTTAATAGAGGTGGCTAGGAATGGGGAAGATTGATCTTAAAGATGGAACGCAATGTCTCAATTGTTCTCACGAACTTCTAGTGAGCCAAAAGGATCGTCTCCTTGTGATTGAAGATATAATTGGTATATTAAAACCTTCATACCTTTTGCATATTAAATTTGAATGTTTTCGTGATAGATAGGGATGACAGGAAAGAGGAGATGATTGATTGATTGATCGTGGTTGTTGTATTGTATAACATTGAGGCTGCCAGTGCTTTATGAGGCCAGGTGGACGGGTAGTTCCTGGTTTTAGTGAGTACCTAGGTACCTACTGATGCAATTATAGTGAGTGAATAAAGCCAAAACCTGCAGGTGGTAGTGATCAATCCGCTAAATTCAAGTAGCTGCTATCCATTAACTTCCAGAAGCTTAAGCTCTACTTAAGCCTATTTCAGGCTGAAGAACCCACCACACGGTAAGAAGACATTCTCTGGCCAAATTTTTAGCCCGAACCTTCGCAGGCTGAACAGCCCCGCTTAGTCCCTCGTCTTTATAGGGGGTTTAGCGGGGAATACAGTGTACCTGTCAGGTACAATTTTGTTTTAAAGTTAGCCCCTCGTGATTGCCCAGGTTTCATGATTGATGTACCCAAACCTTCTTATCGATAAAGTGAAGCTGGAGCTTCCTTTTATTGTTCGACGTCACTTTCCTCGCATGCTTCCTCCTAAGTACCAGGCTGGTACACAACAGCTTTAGCAGTTTCGGATCGATTTATTCTTTGACTTTTCAACTTTTACCTTTGAAAATATATCTCTATGTTTCGTACTGCCATCAAAATGGCACCCACCTCTGCATCTGACATCCCCTCTCTGAATCTTCTTTATAAGCTTAACAAGCTAAAGGTCTCAGAGCTCGGCCCTCTCAAAGGCGCATCCCCGGTGCATAATGATCGCATCGGCTTATTCCATGGCGACATCACCACCTTATCCGTCGATGCCATCGTAAATGCTGCAAATACTTCTCTGCTCGGTGGCGGTGGTGTTGATGGAGCAATCCACCGCGCTGCTGGACCAGGGTTGCTTGCTGAATGTCGCACCTTAGGTGGTTGTCCCACCGGCTCATCCAAGATCACGAGCGGATATAATCTTCCTTGTAACAAAGTCATACACACTGTTGGTCCCATCTACGACTATACCCAGGCCACCGAAAGCGAAAAGGACCTGAGAAACTGCTATCTATCAAGTTTGGAGCTTGCTACACAGAACGGTGTGAAGACTATCGCTTTTAGCGCTATCAGCACTGGCGTCTACGACTACCCGAGCGAAGATGCCGCTCACGTCGCTTGCGACACTGTGAGAAAGTACATGGATGGCGATGATACTAAAAGCCTGGATAAAGTTATATTTGTGACTTTTGAGAAGAAAGACTATATGGCCTATAGCAGCCTCCTTCCGTATGTATTTTCTTAACCCCCCCAAATCCCATAACCTAATTCGCTAACCAAGGCTATGTCATACAGTCATCACTTTCCCCCATCTGTTCCAGCCTCGCAGGACCAAGATAATATCACTAGGGGACAGGCGGTCGAGGCTGAAGTCAAGGCTAGCCATTTGCCCAACGTACCTACGACAGATCCAGCTGACTCCGGACACGTACCGAAGAAACGGAGCCAGGTTAGTGGAGAGTGACATTTCTCGCCTGGAATAAACATGAAGTTACGACGATACGAGAAAGAATTATGCGGCTGGTTAGGACAATGGCGTTATGGGAATAGTAAATGTGCAGTACGAACAAGTAGCCTGACACGTCGCAGCTCATTTCACTGACGACATGATCATGGTAGTCCGCCGAGTCTCATCTCACTATAAGGGACATTTTATAAGATTAGGTTGACTTTTCGTCGAGCCACACGATTACCCTCAACGTTAACTCGACATGATATGGTGGCTTAGAGTGGGCTTCTCTTAAATAGACCTACGCCAATTAAAACATGCAGTTTTTCACATGAGTGGTTTGATAAACACCAGATTCTAATTTATCACTGGAAGATCGATGATAGACCTCGTATTCACCAATTGCTCTCCCGTCCGAACAGGACGTCTTTGGTATCGTATGTGTACACCATCGGGAGTTGCCAATATTCCTCCATGTCTCCTTTAGACAGCTGCCAGGCCTTTTCTAACTCCTCGAGCGTCTCTTTGTCTAGGGGCCCCCTCTCGAGGTAGTCTAGGTTATCTTTAAGCTGTTGCAAGTTGGAGAACCCGATCACAATCCCGTCTTGACCACTGATGACCTGTAACTTTGAATGATGCACTAACCAGCGCATGGCCAGCTCGAGTGGACTCAGGCTTCGTGCTTCAGCAGCTTCGCGAATTAGGCGTGCGCCCTCGATGATACCGTCGCGGAAGTACCGTCCCCGCGTCAGATGCTGAAATGGACCAGCGGCATACCTTCCTTCCTTCGGGTCATCGTCCTTGGAGGTTATCTTACCTAAGAGGAAACCACCTCCTGTCGGGCTGTAGACATCGACAGCTATGCCGTATCGGCGGCACGTTGGAATCAACTCGGCTTCAATCGTCCTAAATAAACAGTTGTAGATTGCTTGGTAGATGGTGGGTCGTACCCAACCGTTGTGCTGGCATGTCATGACGATTTCGGCAACCTCGAAAGAGGTGTAGTTGCTTAAACCAAGTCTCGAGAACTTTCCAGCCTTGTGGAGCTCGTCAATGGCAGCGAGCGTGGTAGAGAATGGGACTGAGCGGTCCTAGGTAAAAGGGTTGTCTAGTTAGTGCGCCACCCGTGCTTTGCAGTCTATACCATATTAAGGGTTTCTCGTTACCGGAGAGTGAAGGTAAAGGATCTATACTCGCATCAGTCTCGCCATTCGCGTGTCTTCCAGTTACGGGAGTAACTCCTCCCCTTAATCGGATACGTACGTCTACCGAGTCCGTCCCGAGCTCCTTCAAACTGGTCTCGAAAGTCTTTTTCAATGTCTCTGGCCGGTGAGATCCTGCGGGGAGCGGCCATATTTTCGTCCCTATAGATAAACCTCTTTCCCTCCAACCAGCTTGTCTCGTGAATGACTCCTGCTCGCCACCGATATAAACACGCGCTGTATCCAGCTCATTGTACCCGCGGTCTTGGAAGATCTCGAGGGCTTGTTTGAAATCATCGAGACTTGTCATGCGTGCCCCTGGGCTCCCCTCAGGTCCAATGACCATGAGACCTAAGATTATTCGCGGTTTTGCTTGCTCCATCATTGTGCACGAATTAGTTCAGCGATCCCCAAATTCTTATCTGGTACACGACGAAGTGTGAATTGTAGGATTCGGGGTAATCATGGCTAATATACCCAGCACTATTACACTGTCTCCCCGCATAGTACGTACCTACCTACATTAAATCAAGACTCAAGACACCAATCGCCAGCAGCAGTGCCGAGCGGGGAAGACCCGCTAACCTGTTGATGCAAAAGGGGTTGGAAAGGGGGGTAAGATGATTCAGGGGTAACGATAACCTCTTATTGAACTCGTCAACACAAAACCGTGAAAGAAAGAAAGAAAAGAAGAAAAATAGGAAACAAAAAAAAAGATGTTCAATTATACTTACAAAAATAAAATCCTTTTTACCGATTGGATAGGTACTCTATTATTTACCAATAGAGAGGTCGGTGGTCTTGCTTACCTAGGTAGGTACCTACCTCTCTAGGTATATTAGTGTAGCCAGCACTAGTATACTGATACTTCCTAGGAGGTATATACTACATATGTAGGCAGGCACTATGTAAGTATGTAGGTATTAGGTACCTATCTACATACCTAGTACCTAAGGCGACGGAAGCTCTTCGCTGAATCCGAAATTTTATATACGCCTAGATGCTTTGAAGTGCTATGTACCGGGGTAATAATCCGTGACCGGAGTGGTATTATTCGATATCGGAATATGATATGGCATATAGGATCGTTTTCGCGCCCTTCCGTCCTTGTTGGTGTGGGGCCTTCTGTAGTCCGATATGACTAACAGACACGAACCTCCAGGGCTGTAGCTACGTTGAAAGCTTGATAGTGGCTGATAGCGCTAATTACATACCTAGGTAGGTAAGTATATAAGGACAACTGGTAGGTACATACCAGGTTAAGTACCTACCTAACTATAATTCCTCATCCATGATATGGATATTTGTTATTTTTCAGAGTTGTAATTGCTAGAAATGCCGACCCAGTAGGTGCTTTTTCATAAGAAAAACACTTACCGTTCGTCATATTTATACAACTTCGGAATGGGGTCCTACAATCAGAGCTCTAACCCACCCAACACAAGGGGCGATGTGTTGGGAAAGAGCGGCATTTCGGCAGCATTTGGTCAGAGAGCGCTTCAACATTTTGACTTTGATCCGGAATATCGCAATTTAAATCATGGTAAGAGAGGTATCCATCTTATACCTACATAGTTGGCACATTTCTAATAAGTAACTGATAGCCTCTTTCGGGGCAAGCCCCAGTGCGATCAGAAAGAAGCTCTGCCAGTTTCAGGATCTGGCTGAAGCAATGCCTGATCAGTTCATCCGCTATCAAGCTCCCGATTTTCTGAACGAATCTCGGGAAGCCGTGGCGGAACTACTCAACGCCCCTACGGACACGGTAGTGCTTGTTCCAAACGCTTCTGTTGGAGTGAACACCGTTTTACGGAATATTACCTGGAACGAGGATTCGAAGGATGAGATCCTATACTTCAGCACCATATACGGAGCATGCGGTAAAACTATCGACTATATGGTAGATTCGAGTCAGAACCGCGTCTCGGCGCGGGAAATACGGTTAAGGTACCCGCTCGAGGACGACGAAGTCATTGCCGCCCTCAGGGATGCGATAGAGGCTTCTGCTAAATCTATGAAACGCACGAGAGTTTGCTTATTCGACACGGTATCGAGCCTCCCTTCTGTGCGCCTACCCTTCGAACGGATTACGGAAATCTGCAGAGAAGCCGGGATACTGAGTCTAATCGACGGGGCGCAGGGGGTCGGGATGATCGATATCGATCTGAAAGCACTTGATCCTGATTTCTTCGTCTCAAATTGTCATAAGTGGCTTTACGTACCTAGGAGTTGCGCCGTCCTCTACGTCCCGTTGCGAAATCAGGCGATAATAACGTCGTCGCTACCGACTTCTCATGGGTACATCCCCAAATCAGAAACGGGCAGGAGGTTTAACCCAATGCCGAAGCAAAATAAGAGTGCCTTTATCAACAATTTTCAATTTGTCGGCACACTGGACACGAGCGCCTATCTTTGCGTAAAGGATGCAATCGAATGGCGACGGCGGATCCTCGGCGGCGAGCCCAGGATAATAGAATATACCCAAACACTAGCAAGGGAAGGGGGTAAGAAGGTAGCATCTATTCTCGGAACAGATGTTCTAGATAATAAGTCCGCATCAATGTCGAGATGCGCGACCACGAACGTTGCTTTGCCTTTGAGACCCGGAGAGGCAGCGAGGGCCCCGGAATGGATGATGGAGACGATGATATCCGATTACAAGACATTCATCCCTTTGTTCTCACACAGCGGCCGTTTGTGGGCTAGGATAAGCGCACAGGTTTATCTTGATATTCAAGATTTTGAATGGGCAGGCCGGATGCTCCTCGAGCTCTGTGAGAGAGTAGGGAAGGGTGAGGATATTGGATGGGAGCATGAACAGTGAGTCAATATTTATTTATGGGTATGTGATTGTGACCCTAGCATGAATTTCCAGGGCTAATATGAACCAGTCTGCGAAAATGGATCCCGATTATGGGGCAGATTCCACTATAATTTAAACCAATCAACGCATTCATAGGTACCGAGTACTTATAGATATTTACATTTTGGAAGTTAATCACAAGTTAATAAGTCGCTGTCGAATATTTGAAGTTATTAGCAATTTTTTATTTTTATTTTTAATTAGTTAAAATCGTGAATAATTTTATAAATAATTTAATTATTTAATTAAAATAATTTAAGTTAATTAAAAGTTTATATAAATATTAAATATTAAGTATTTAATTAACGATTTAAAAAGTTAAGTTTATTAAAATTAATAAAATAATAAAAACGCATTATAATTCCCGGGGGGGTAAAGGTTATTTAATAATTTAACGCGTTACATTTTAACTTTAAGGTATTTATAAACATTAAAGTTATAATATTATAATATTAAATAAATCGCGTTTCGTTATTAAAAAACTTAAGCTTTTTTAAATATAATTTATAAAATTAAAAACGATTTTAAAAATTAAAATATACATTTTAATATATATTTATAAAATTTTAATAAATATATATAATAATTAATATATAAAAATAAGCTTTTTTATTTTTTATTTAAAACACGTAAAAAGTAAAATAAAAGTAATTATTTTTATTAATTACGTCGAGAATTTTAATTTTTTTTTTAATATACGTTTTATCGTAATTAATTTATTTATATTTTTAATAATAATACGCGAAATATTTTAAACCGTTAAAATATTAAATATATTAAACTTTTTTAATTAATTAATTACGTATTTTTTTATATTAATATTTTATAATAAATAACTTAAAAATTTATAATTATTATTATACGTTTTTCCGTAATTATTATAATTAATAAATATTTTTAAATTTTTAAATAATAATATTATTATTAAAAAAGTTTATTACCGGAAATTAATAAATTAATAAACGGCGAAAAAAAAGGAAATTTAAAAAAATTTTATAATATTTAATTTATTAATATTAAATATTAATTTTTCTTTAAATTAATAATTAAAAGTTTATAAAATTAAAATTCGGTTCGTTAAGTTTTTAAAAGTTTTATTAACCGTTAATTTTAAAAATAAAATAAATAAAAAATTTTACTTATATATATACCGTGTTTTTTATAACGAAAATGTTAAAAACTTTTCGCGTAATAACGTTATTATTTTTTAATTTTTTAATTTCGTTTCGTAATAATTAAAGTTAAATCGTTAAAAAACTTAAATGTAAATATAATTTAATTAATTAAAAACGTAAATATAAATAAATTAAAGCTTTTAATTTATTATAAAAATGTTAAATTACGGCGTAATATATCGTATATTTTTTTAATTATTTATTTATTTATTTTATAAGTATTAAAAGTTTTATTTAATTTTAATTTTATATTTATATATTTATTAAATTTTATATTTTTTATTTTTATATATATTATTTTATATATTTATTTTAAGTTTATTTTTAAGGTTAATTTTTTTAAATAACTTATTAAATATTCGGTTTTCTTTTAAGTTAATAATTAAAAGTTTATAAAATTAAAATTTAACTCGTTAAGTTTTTAAAAATTTTATTAACCGTTAATTTTAAAAATAAAATAAATAAAAAGTTTTATTTATATATATATTATATTTTTTATAACGAAAATAATTAAAACTTAAAAGCTTTTTACGTAATAACGTCGTTATTTCCCGGGTTTTTTAAAACGTAAAATTAAACGAATTTTTTATTAATATTAAACGGATTTTTTATTAATATTAAATATATTTTCACTTAAATATATTTATTTAAGTTAATTATTTAAGTATATATTTTAAAGTATAACTTTTTATATAAATTTATATATTTTTTAAACGTTTTATAATCGAAGTTTTTTATTATTATAAACTTCGTTATTATTTTTAAAATTTTCTTTCGAAGGTTTAAATAAAACCGTTAAAAAGTTTTAAAAAAGAAATAATAAAATTATTAAGTTTAATATTAAATATATTTATTTAAATTAACGTTATCGTTAATAATAAACGGCGTTACGTATTTAAGTAAATAATTTTATTTTAATATAATAATTTATAAATAATTATTACGTTTTAATTTTAAATTTTTATTAAAATTAATTATCGATTATATTTTTTTTTTATATTTTTACTTTTATATAAACGTAATAAAGTTTAATTAATATATATATATTATATAAATATAATATTAACGAAAGTAAATATTACTTTAATAATAATAAATTTAAAAAATACTTTATTTTATATAAGTAATTATATTTAAAGTATATATTAACGCGACTTTTTTCGATTAAATATAATTATATAAAAATTCGTTTAATTTTACGAACCGTTATTTTTTAATTTTTTAATTTCGCTTTATAACTTAACTTTTAATAAAATAAAATTATTTAATTTTAATTTAATATAATAATTTTTTAATATTAAAATAAATATAAGTTATAAATATTATATTAAATATATACTTAAATAATTAATTAATTAAATTATTAGTTTTAAATAATAATTCGTAAATAATATATATATATTTTTTAAGTATAAAACGTAAATTTTTAATTATTTAATATTTTAATATTTAAGGTCGTAAGATTCGTAATTTTTTTTTTCTTTTTTCGAAAAGATTTTTATATTTTTATTTAATAATAATTTATTTAATGAACGTTAAAGTTATATTAAATTTTAAATGCCCGATAATATCGTATTAATTTTTATGTATGATTTTTTTATGTATTAATATGTTTTTTTAATTAATTATATTTTTAATAATATAATATATAACCATTTAATAATATTTAAGTATTTTAATATTAATAATATTTAATATTAATCTTCGTATAATAAATATTTAAAAATATTATATAATATTATTATTATTAAAAAAGTTTACGTTTTTATAAATTACTTTTTTTATTATTAATAATTATTTTTATTTTTTATTACGAAACGAAACTTAAAAATTAAAAAATAATAACATTATTACGTAAGGAGTTTTTAAATATTTTCGTTATAAAAAATACGATATATATATAAATAAAACTTTTTATTTATTTTACTTTTATTAATATATAAATTATATTATTTATTATGTTTATTTTTAAGCTTTAATTATTTTCGAAATTAAAACCCCGTTTATTTTTAATGCGTTTTTACTTTTTTTATTTATAATGTTTTTTTTATTTATAATGTTTTTTTTATTTATAATACTTTTTTTATTTATAATATTTTTTTTATTTATAATGCTTTTTTTATTTATAATGCTTTTTTTATTTATAATACTTTTTTTATTTAACTTTTTAATAAACATTAATAATAAAATATTATTATAATAAATCATTAATTAAGTGGTTATAAGTTAAAAATAAAAATAAAAAATATATATAATAAATAGTTTAAGTATATAAAAATAAACGAATGGCTTTTAAAGTTCGAATTAATTATATTAATTATATTAAAACGATATATTAAGTAAATTAATTTTAATATATTAAACTTTTTCGTGGAATAAATTATAATATACATTAAAAGCTTTTATTAAATATTAATTAATAAGTATATATTAAAGTAAATATGGATTTATTTTTTTAATTTATTTAATAAAATTATTTTTAAATACGTTATCGAATATTTTAAAGTTACGCGTTAATTTAATGTATATAATTTATAAATAAAATATTATTCGTTTTATTCGTTTCGTTTTAATAAATAAATATCGTAATTATTTTATAAAGATTTAATTTATTAAAATTTAAATTCCGTTAAAACGTTATATTATATATAAATATAATAAAATTAATTAATTATATATTCGAATATTTTATTATTTAATAATTATTAATTATTTTTTAATTATATACGAATATAATTTTTTATTTATAAATTAAATAATATAATTATTATATTTAAATATAACTTTTTATTTAAAGATTTTAATAAAATTAATTACATTAAATTTAAAGCTTTTTTTATGAAATTATAATAATAAAAATAAATTGCTTAATTTTTGCGAATTATTTAATACGTTTTAATAATCATAAATTAAAAATACATTTTATAAATTAAAAACATTTTTAAATACTTTTTTATAATAAAATTTTAAAAAAATATAACTTAATTTATTAAAAAACGTATAACGTAATTAATTAAAATAGATTAAATTTTTAAAAATTAATAAAAGTTTAATAAAGTTATTTAATATAAAAATATTTAATTAAAAAAAACCGGGACCATGACGTTATTATTATATTAATTCGAATTTAAAATTGCGTTTTAATAAAATTTAAGTTTTAATAAAACGAATTTATTTCAATTATATAAAAGTGTAAATATTAAAAAATAAAAATGAAAAAAAATAAAAAGTTATTATTTAAGTAAATACGTATTTAATAATTTAAGGTATTATTTTTATTAAATATTTAATATATAATAAAAAAACGTTTTCGTAATATAAGCTTATAAGGTTAATAAAGTTAATAAAGTTAAATATAATAATAATTTTAATTTTTTATTATTACGATACGAATATAATGTTTAATATAAAATAATTTTTACGAAAAAATTAATCTTTTTAAAAGCTTTATTTTAATGTAAATATTATTAAGTATACGATTATATTTATTATTCGAAACTTTAAAATTTAATTTATTTTAATGTTTACATTTAAAAATATATAAAATAAATATATATTTTTTTTAATTATATTCGATATTAATAAAAACGTTTTCATTAATTATTATATATATTAAAATAATAAGAAAATTATAATTATTATAATAGTATATTTTAATTAATTTTAAATATTTAATTAAATGCGTAGTCGTAATATTCGTCGTTTTTAAATAAATATTTTCATTAACGCCACATATATTATTCGTTATAACTTTCGTTATATCGTTATTTTATTAATGTTATTATTAAATTTATTAATAAATATTAATAACGGGGTAACATTTTAACCATGTTTATAATTAATTAATTATATTAATTTATTAATTTAACCCACGATAATTTTAATGGAATTAAATTAAATTAAATTTTTTAATAATTAATGTAAATTAATAAATTAATATTAAGTTAATTAAAGTTTTAACCGTTATTTTATTATTTAA